CCAGCCAAAACATACAACCACGGTCGAGAATGCTGGCTTGGGTTAGGAAGACCCCAGTAGTTACTCGCAACAATCCCTTCCAGACCAGCAGATTCATGACCCCAAGCCTCAAGAAGACGAGCACGGGAAATGTCGCAGTATCGAGATAGACCATAGAACAAGGCTAGAGAAATCCACAGATGCCAACCACCTGCACTCATGTACTTTTGGTAAATTGTCAATGGAATGGCTCCCGTCTCTGTAACTTGTTCAGGAACGTCCTTGGATCCTGAGACATCTTCAGAAGTATGGTCCTGTGAAGTCTCATGTTGCTGGACATCAATAGCACCAGAGTTGACATGGTGAGGATGTTCTAGTTCTTGCTTTAGCTGTTCTTGCGTCAATACATGTGCATAACCGTCTTTGATATCAACGACTTGATCAGCGTGTTTAAGAACCAGATCATCCCGATGTGTGACGAGTACAATGTTTCGACCTTGGGCAAGGGGTCCACGAAGGAAGTGCTGCACAATGTAACTCGCTGTGTCATGATCCAAAGCGGCAAGGGGATCATCCAATAGCAGAATACGGCATTTGCTGTACACAGCTCGTGCCAAAGCAACACGCGCTTTTTGGCCTCCCGAAAGACCAATACCCGCTTCCTCAAGTTTCGTCTTATCGCCGAGAGGAAACGTCATAAGATCTGGAAGTAAAGCGCATGCACTGAGTACACTTCGATAACGATCTTGATCAAAAGGTTCATGGAAAAGAATGTTGTCTCTGATGGTCTTGTTCTGTAACCAGGGGAGTTGTTGCGCGTAAGCAATCGGCTCATCAGCTCGTGAGAAGACTCCACTGCGATGTTCAAGCTCGTTGAGAATAGCGAGTAAAAGACTTGACTTTCCAGAACCAACCTTTCCTCGAATGACGTTTAGTCCTGTTGAGAACTTGAGAGTTAGGTCTTGTAGAACGAGATGGTCGGTCGCAGGGCGGGAGAAAGAAGCATTGACGAATTCGATATCGCGATCTTGCGAACCACTGAATGCGTCTTGATCTCTGTCTGGTTCAGACATGTACTTGTTGACGCGCTCAACAGGGATGGTGCACTTCCAAACTGCAGAGATAAGATCGAAAGCTTCTCTGGTACTCGCCTCGAGCTGGGCAAATAGTTGAAGTGAAGGCCAGATGACATCGTTTGGTAACCCACGGCCGAGAATAAGTGTGTACAGACAAATACTCGCAAAGGGATAGACAGCACCACCAAAGACATTAATCGTCGAGATAGCTGCGTTGACAATCGAGATATGAAGTCTCTTCCTCATCTCAACGTCCCTAAATCGTAAAATCCTATCACGCCACGACGATGTCCATCCGTTGAGCTTAAGCGGGCGACTAGCCTCGACAAAGTGCGCAACGGCTTGAGCTCGTCGATCTGAATGAGCCGTTCTTTGACGCTCTAGTTTAATAACCTGTCGAACGAGAAGGGAATTGCATGTGATAAAGATGACCATAAAACCGAAGCCCACACAGGAAGGCCAACCCATTATGTCGATGAGGTAGTAGATAGTAACGATAACTTTGATAGGTGTGGCGACAACGCGTGCGAATTCCCAGAACCGTTGGGATATCTCATAGGTATCCCCGCGGATGAGGTTGACGACTTTTGCGTTGGAAGCTTGGTGGTCCTGGGATGGTTGCGAAGCTTTAGTCTTTTGCTTTTTACGTCCACGGCATTGTTGAAAGAATTTAGAAAACTTTCCAGAGCTATTCGAAGGGTCATTTTCTTCAGTAGAGGGATCTTTCTCTGTCATTTCAGATCCTGGCACAGCTCTTGTAAGAAGCTTTCCGAATAGACCGATAAAGGTCTCTCCGCGACTCCTTTCGTATGCTTTGCGCGAGTACCATCCCGAAGACGTTCTTGCGATTTGGCGAAGAGTATCGATGGAGAGAATAACCATACACCATAGGCCAGCCTCTGCAGGATCACTCTTATCAAGAGCTTGGTATAGTTTACTTGTGAGACGAAGATTGGAGACTTCAGCGACACGTTCAACAATAGCTGCAAAAGTGGATATAAAAAGATCCAAACCGTTGGCTTCAATAAGACATGGTAGAAGTTTACCCTTGAGAGTACGAAAAGCCATGTAAAGTCTCCAGTGCTGAAATTCGTATGGTAGCTGCCACACGTCTCCGACGGCAATCTCGCGCTGGCCGGCGACTTTGGAAAGAGGGTTGACCCATTTCATGGTCCAGAACTGGAAGAGCGTGAGATTATCTTCTGGACTGCGGACTTGGTTCGATGGAGGGACTTTGGTGTTGCCGATATCCAATGAGCCCCAGAATGGATTGCGAAGGGGCATGTTTCCGATGACCAGGATAGCCAGAGCTTCGAGAACAAGGTGTGCGACCTGAAAGATGCTGATCGAGCTCGTCTTGAAGCTGAGGTAGTAAATTGCCCGAAGAATAACTGCAGTCGCCATCATGAGTGTGTACTGCATCAGTAGTAACTTCGGCGCTTGAACGGGAAGATCGACAATCGTGAGAAGGGTCGTCACCGTCCATGGCATAAGGTCCATAAACGAAGCCTTCTGGCGAGAATGGACAATAGCACAGCTAATAGCCACACCCAACCCAACAAGAGAAATAAGGGTCAGACACAACGTCCAAAACGTCCATTTTCTTTGCTTTGCGTGAAACGGCGCTGTTTCTTGAGCAAACGGTTTCAACCATCGTGGAGTTAAACTCAGCAACGGTTTTCGGCAGAGATAAAGTAAGAGTATCGTGCATGAAACCACATCGAGGCCGAGCAACAGGCTCATCTCGCGCTTCGGCCATGATTCGGACCATGTTTGATACAAAGGCGGCTGGACTGTCGGAAAGTTGAACAGCTGCTTTGAGAAGCTGGCGTGGTAGAGGTCTACAGCTGCCATAATGGCCCTATAGCCGGCTTGTGGCTCCGACGTTCAATTTGGCGTAAGTTTGACGGCGAAGCTGGATAAAGTTTTTAGCTATAAGCTTTTGTTGTCGGGTGTATGGTTGCAAGATTGGTTGGATGCGCAATTTTACTTGGAATATACAATGGATAGATAGAAAAAAGATATATGGTCAAGAGAAAACGAGTCGATACAAGCAGACAGACATAAATATATAAACGGAAAACGCGGCACATACAAATGGTGTTTGTAATATCGGGGCTGGGCGATTCACACATAAAACTCTATTCGTGGCGCGTGCGAAACAAACACAAAGAATGATGAATAACTAGCCATTGGCTCACAGCATCTAATCAATCAGATAAACGACGTGTACATTTGTGCGATAGGGTATCAATTGATGAGCAGACAACAGTTGTGAAAGGGTGGTAGTGAGTGAGAAGTGAGGAACTTGCTAGCGGTGAATCTTTTTGTTTCCCTCGGCCTTTAAATCAGACCCCAGCAAAATGTTGAATGCCCAATGAGGTGCTGTGTAGATCTTGTGGGGAAGAGTCGTTGTTAAGCGTGGATCATGACCGGATGGGGTTTGGTACTTTGGTTTCATGGTTTGATGGCATGTTATTAATTGTTGCGACGAGGTAGGATGCGATCCCATGTTGTGCATTTGGAAATGAGGGCAATGGCCACCATCTGCGGTAACGCGGCGCAGTGAGTGAGATACGCCAGACACGTCGTATTTCCATCCCATCATGAACGGAAACTCTATCAGAGTGATATTCAACAGTGCAAATAACCAACATCCAGTCGTATCTAAATAAACAAAGCGCCTCCAACGGATGCCATGGACAACACGGTGATCATGCCAACGCCGTTGGCTGACCAAGATTGCGGCGCCGCACCCGAATCTTTGGTTTCTGTAGAAGACGCTGCTGAGCCAGTGTTTGTGGCCGTACCAGTTGAAGACTCCTCCGATTTAGATCCGCCATCCACAAGGGCAGAAAGTTTGTCGTCGTCGGTGAAATATGCTTTGACTGAAGATGCATTCTTGCACTCGCTGGGCGCATCGGCCTTGCCCTTGACGAAATTGGCAGCAATGCACTAATACGATTAGCCATGAATTATGGTTTATAGGATAGACACTCACCTGGTAGAGAAGACCATCAACTGCTGAAGACACAACATTCACCCAACCCTTCTTGCCGACGTATTTCTCGGGAATTGTGACCTGGGGTTGACAGAAATCACCGAGGCCACTCTGCTGAACGATAGGAAAGACCTGTTCCCAACCGCCTGAGGCCTCTTCATCAAGAGTAACTCGGAAAAGCCAGTTGCCTTGTTGGTGAGTGGAACGAAGAGCAATGGCTTCGCCTCCGACGTGGAAATCGACGAGTTTATCTTTGGAGAGGTCGGGGGTGAAACCGCCGCATGGGGACTTATCTTCGTCGTCGTCTTTGAAGCCGATTGTGTCGGGGTATTTGACTTCGAAGTGAGCGAGTGACAGACCACAAAGGGCAGCTGCTGAGAGGAGGAGAGAGGAGCGCATTGTGATGGGTATAAGAGAGAATAGAAGCAGAGAGAGAATTGGAGTCGGAGTATGATATGGGAGAGTCAGCTTAGGTGGTGGGCGGTTGACAGCTTTTTGTAGAGGTGCGGATACCGGCAAGGGAAGGAGGGAGAGGCTGAACTACTTTCCTTTTAGTCTGGGGATGTGGAGGTTACTTTATGCAGGCAAGTACCTCGGGTGTTCACTCTGTATGTTCTGAGACCTCAAGACTGAGAACTCTTAACATAATTCCTTGACTTGAAGAGTTTCATGCCATGGATAGGATTGTATTCTCTGATATTATTCTTTGTTGAAGATTATGCATGTTATTGTGCAACCTCAACTTTCCATCATGATTGCTACGTCATTGAGGCTCTGTGTTCCCATGATGGACAATCAAGCCAATGCAAGCCATGTTACTAGTCCGAAGCAATTCCATGCATCGTACTCCCTGAAATTGACCTAGAGTTAGATATCTATATATTGTACATGTAATTCACAGCATTGAACTCGGTTTCACCAGTACAAGTGTCCATCACCAAATAATGTCCATGTAAGTGAGTGGCGGAGACGCCCGCTGAAGAGAGCACGTTTACCCCAAAAGTCTAGAACAAAAACCAGGGTCCGACAGAGTTATCCAATCATAAGTCATCGTGCACGGGCCCTGAGGTTGTTTGAGCAAGTTTCTTTCTTACTTCTCTTGTAAGTGAGCGAGTTTTTACAGTCACTAAATAGTAACTCTTAAACAAACTCATAGAGGCATTTGTTGCAAGATCTTGCGCTGTTACGGATACACGGCATCAAACGGATAAAACGGAAGACATCTGCAGAATAAATTAGATGATACCTTGAGAGTTTACAAGGCATGATTAGACATGATTTGTGGCTTGAGACTAGATCGTATCTCTTACATGCTATCTATCAGCTGAACTAGATGGCGTATTCCATGCACGCCCGTATAAATCAGTTAGTCGCTATGCTTGGTGTGGGTGGCTTACAGTAATTCATCCTTGACCTGGGTCTTGATCACCGCGGGGTTCAACTTGACTCTGACTTTCTTATCATCATCCAACATCACCCTTCCTTCGAGTAGGTATCTTGCCTTCTAATTACCCTTTGATCCTCATATCTTGGCATTCCTCATCCTCAAATCGCCAAGTCTTCAGTATTATATCAACTTGCTCAATCATTCTCACCACTGTACCTCAATTGTCTCTCAGCTAACACATGTTGCTCTATCGACAGAGCTCTGTTTGTATACGACATCATGATCTTTTGAACAGACAGAACCATCAACTTTACTGAGACCGCGGAATCTGGACTAGAAACGTCAAGTTTCTTCACGACGCTGGCCGTCGTTCTTATTTTCATTCAGATCGAGTCACATCTCTTAACGCCCAAGGCGTATCACAGCCATCATGGACATGGACCACATGCACCATGATCCCGGCTTACGGATGGAAGTCAACTATGCCTTTGCTCGTGCATATTGGTATATCATTGCTGGTGTCGTGGGCGCACTTGTCGTCATCCGCGGCATCAACCATCTAGAAGCTCAGCAAAGGTAGCCACATTCATAAACTCACCAACACCCTAACTAACGCCGCAAAGATTAAAAGCATGTCGCGATCCGGCAACAGACCATCCAACCCGACCAAGAGGATTTCCAAGCCAAGCATGGGCGACAGCAACAGCCATCTTTCGAGAAATGGGCCACCCACAATACTACATCACCACCAAAGGTCTCCGATGGGCTACACCACTCCCTCTCGGCCGAATCATTATTCTAGCATGCTACTGGGTCGTTGTCGTTTACATGATGAGCTGGCAAGTAGCAAAGAACGACGTGTACTACTGGGAACGTATCGGTTATCGCAACGCATGGGTCACTCTGATACAGTTCCCCCTGGTCTACCTATTATCGACAAAAGTCAATGTTATCGGATTCCTCGCAGGTACCAGCCACGAAAGACTCAACTGGTTACATCGATGGGTTGCGCGCACAATGTTTGTCACCGCAACGGTTCATGGATTCCATTTCTGGACCATGTGGGTACGTGCTGAATTCCTCGAATATGCCCTCGAGATTATGCCTCTGGTCAAGTATGGACTGGCAGCATGGGCAATCCTGCTCTGGAACGTTGTAACCGGTATCGTGCCTATTCGCAGGCTTTCATATGAGGTGTGGGTGGCTCAGCATGTTGTCACCAGTATTGTTATGCTGTGGCTGCTCCATAAGCATATTCCTGCGAATGCCCGTTGGCTTCTATGGATGAGCATCTCGTTTCTTGTTTTCGATCGCGCCATGAGATGGATTCTTCTCTTATGGCAGAATGTTCGACTACGGCCCCAAGGAACAGCATGCCAGGGAATGAAGCATCTCGGACATCGTGTGGCTGCTCGGGTCGTTGGACCAGCGACAACTGTAATCACCATCAAGGACGTGCACTTCAAATGGAAGGCTGGACAGCACATTTATCTCTGGCTTCCACGTCTTGGTCTGTTCGAAGCGCACCCGTATACAATCGCTTGTGCGCACAAACTCGGGGGAACATGTTGCTGCAACAGTATACAGCTTGTCGTACGCGCCCACGCTGGATTCTCCAAGCGTATCCACGAGTATGCGACAAAGAACGCAGCTTCTGAGCTTACAGGCTTCGTGTCAGGACCGTATGGTGTTCCCCCACAGTGGGACATTTACGAGACGCTGGTACTGATCGGAGCGTCGACTGGAGCGAGTTTTGTCGTTCCCATCCTCGAGAGTATCGCGGCCGCGCAAAAAGCGAACTGCACACGAAGAGTCGAAGTCATTCTTACAGCAAGAACAGCGCAGGAAATAAAATATTACGTCGAAAGAGCCGAAGAAGCTGGTCGAATGGTACGCGCAAAAGGCATCGCGGTCAGCATCCACATCGCAGTTACAGGGTCCAACAACAAAACTCAAGGCCCAATTTTCGTTTCTCAGCCTGAATCAGAATCGTCAAGATCGAGCGACTCTGACGACATTCAACCCGTCAAGGGATGCTGTTGCGGTAGTGGCACAGACGAGAAGGGATGTCCGAGCGATTCACCGTGTCGCGTGGAAAAGTCCATCTCTGTGCCAGAGCTTGTTCGGGAATACACGTGCCGCCCAGATATCGAGGCCATGATTCGAGAACCAGTAGAGCAAGCTTGGGGGGAGACAGGGGTTGTTGTTTGTGGTGGTCGTGAGATTGTGGCGCGGACGAGGAATTGTGTTGGCCGTTTGAGTGATGAGCGAGCTGTACATAAAGGAACAGGTGCGCAGGGGATATATCTTTACGTGGAGGAGTATTCGTTCTAGGATATTGAACAATAATGACGATGATTGAGACTATAATGAGTGAAGAAGAACAGGGGTCATGTCACTCCTTTGGAGGTGATTGTGGCTAGAGTGTACTGTGCCACAGCAACGGTAACAAGGGGACCAAACCCAAACAATGGGCGGGCCCTGAAACTGTTTGTTATGCATCTTTAGTATCCGATACCTCCTGAATTGCCACTTCATCTGTCTATTCCCCTCTACATTCTTCTCCATTCCAAACTAACCATATCGGAATGCAACTCCAAAATTCGAGTCAAGTCTCGAACTGATCCACCACCTAATTCCTCCCCAGCGGCTCGCCAACCCCTAGTTCCCTTGCACTACACTGACCACGGCTAGTCTGGCACTCTCTAATTGGCTACACCAACCCTTGAGTCCCCGAATCCCCATTCCCTCCACTTCTTTTCATCAATTCCTACTCTCCATTGTTAACCAGGCTACCTCTTTTTTTGTTTGCCTCATCCCTCTCATCGACAACTCTCCAATTTGTTTTCATCTCTTGTTTCTTGTTTCTCATGCTTCATCTCTGAGATTTTGTCTCTCCACCATGCCTTCGAGGCGGCGGTACCATTACCAGGCGCGGCCTTCAAGGCCTTATGCCCTGGCTCAAGCAGGAGTGAGGTTAGTCGCTTGGATCACCAGCCTCGCCGCTATGCTCCTTCTTGCATACGTCTGCAAAGAATGGTCATCCAAAAGTCAAGTCATTATCGCGGGTGCTGTGGGCGTAAGTTGTTACTCCCCTCAAATCCAAGTCCATGTTACACGAGGCTGACGCGCTGCAGTGCGCAATCGCAATGCTCAATGACAGCTGGGAGATTCTAGCGGTGACAGACACCTCATTCTCAGTCCCCAGATTAGTCACCTCAAGAAAGGTTCTCCATGACTTATTCGCGCTGGCGCTCTGCGTGGGCGGCATCATAATGATGTGGGTATCCAACATCAACATCTCCTCCGACAAGAAGCCCGGTCAGAGGAGGCAAGAACTGTGGCTTATGGCTGCACTCTGGGCATTAATCGCGGTGGTGTAGGTTTCATACTCCTCACACGTCGAGACTCATGTTACTAACAATGATGATACAGTGGCTGGAGATTAGTCTTTGCAGTCTGGGGCTGTGTTGATTGTACTGGTGATGCCAGACGCGCAGCAGAGAGACGACAGAGACGGCGAGGAGGACGAAATGATCCCTGGCACCAGATGGGAATTTTGTGAAGCGAAAAATCATTTTGCACTGCGAACTTGGCATTACATTACATTACGACTGCTTGGATATGGAAGACTAACTTGATTTACGACATGCATTCATCAAACGGCGCATTGAGTTTTTGGAGTTGGACCTCTTTCGATAGACATTGCCGACGACTGCGAATTTTTATTTACCATTGGAGGCGGAACTTTTGTTGGCGTCACCAACCTCATTAATCACGACACTCATACTAGCCTGGCAACAATTTTACTCACGTTTCTATGGCCAAAGTCTGGGTCATCGACATACCATTACCACGAACCGATCTACTCCGCTCTGAGTATCACCAACATCGAAACGACCTGGAGATTGAGTTTTGGGTTACTTCTCAACAGTAACTGATTGGTCTGTTGGATCTTGGACGAGAAGTCTGTTGCAGCAGTCGGTCATACACAAATAACTTCCTTGTATGGTCAGGGTCTCTCTGCCTTAACCGTTCCGAATAAGATGGATATGGGAGATCTCACGCTGAATGGTCGATGGAACGAAGAATTTCTCAGAAAGACGGCCTTTTCATTTCGAAAGGGTTTCGATAGACTGACGCGACAGGAGAAATTATCTCCGTGGATAATACGGCAACTGTTGCGGAGAGCCACGCAACCTGAACTCAAGAAGTACCTCGATAAGAGACTGTTCATCCAGTTCAACGGCATCCAAGCTATTCTACATTTACTGCTCAAGATATTGCCTACGCAACCTGAGCTCAAGAAGTAGTCTCGTCTTGTCCGACTTTTTCTGCTGTGGGTTGGATTATCTCGATATATCAGCTCCGGACAAACCGATTTCAGGGTGAGAGACTACTAAGAAGAAAAGAGAACTCTGCTTGGGGCACCCGCCGCCGTCTTTAGTTGCGTTGCTGCGCAAGACCCACATCCAGGTGCCGGAATATTAACCGGCTATCGAGGACATATGGCATACAGAATATTACAGTTCTAGTCGGTTTGTTCAGCTTTCTTACCGCTTTCTGGTTAAATACCGAATACCAACACTTACTACCTGTCATTTGACATTGTGCCTCTATTGCTCATGTGACAAGTTCCTGGATCATGACTACACCCTAGCTTCACATTTATGTTGATGGCTTGGGCTTCCAAAGTCTCCCGGACGAGACTGTCCGGCGTGATGTATATACCTTACCATTGTACTCAGGAGACCACCTGTTTGGTGATCATGACAAGTATAGAGTTCAACATGATCATTCTATGGCGCCATGGTAATTCTAATTGCGTATTTCTTTCTTGCAGTTTCCCTCAGCGATGCTTCGTTCAAAATCTTCCTAATACCCCGTTTCGAGAGATTGACGATCATCCAGCAACCACCGAATTAACTTGACAATGAGTTCGCAAACGGGAAAACCGATCGAAGTCCCCTCCGACGATGTGGACGCCATTCTTATGGAAGAGATATCCCATGGCCCAAACGATGACACGATCAAAGAGAGCCTGGCGGATAGACTCGCAACGCTCCTCGAACAACACGAGCACGACCAGAACTTCCCCGACAACATCCTCCAACGAGCGAGAAGCTATCTCGAAAATAAAAATGGCGAGCAACAGGATGAAGAAGTAGCCCATGGCATATATGCCGAGTTTCAAGCCCAGAGGGATCTGATCATAAACAATTCCATCTACCCGGAAGTTCGAGCCGTCGTCGAGAATACAGACGATCGGACGCTGCCTGTGGGAACATTCAGAGCCTTCTTCTTGGGAACAATATTTGTGCTTCTAGGGACATCGATTGAACAATTCTTCTCTCTTCGAATGCCGGCTATTAGTCTGTCGACATACATGGTACAATTATTGTCCATGCCTTTGGGTATGCTGTTGGCAAAGATCCTTCCGACGAAAAAGTTTCGCATATTCTCTTGGGAATTCTCCCTTAACCCGGGACCTTTCAGCCAGAAAGAACATGTCTTGATTGCAATCATGGCAAACGTGTCTTTTGGCGGTGGTGCAGTTGGCGCATATGTTGTTTCCATCATCCAAGTATTTAAGCTCGACACGTTTTACGGTGAAAAGGTTCTATCAAACAGCATCCCCTGGCAGGTTATTACTCTTCTATCGACACAATTCCTTGGATATGGATGTGCAGGTCTGGCTCGTCGATTCCTCGTATACCCATCGTCCATGCTGTGGCCAAGATCGCTAGCAAACATTGCACTTACCAAAGCTTTGTACAAAGACAACGGAAACAGAGAAGAAGCAGCAAATGGATGGAAGATGACACGATACAAGTTCTTCTTGATCTGCTTTGCCTCCATGTTTGTATACTTTTGGATCCCCAATTTCCTCTTCAAAGCTTTGGGATTATTCAACTGGCCTACATGGATATCACCACGCAACGTCACCCTCGCCCTCATCGCCGGATCTACCTGCGGTCTCGGTTTTAACCCCTTACCCACGCTGGATTGGAACATTGCGACATATCTCGGCGATCCCATCGTCACTCCCTTCTTCACACTCATGAACTACGCAAGCGGTATGGCCATCATCGGCATCATAGTTGCGCCGTTGCTCTACTTCAACAACGTGTGGGACGCAGCTTATTTCCCCATCAACAGCAACCTTGTTTACGACAACTCGGGCAGTCGATACAATGTGTCTCACATATTACTGCCCAACTTTACACTCAACGAGACGGCGTACCACCAGTACAGTGTTCCCCTCATGACGTCTACCCAAGTGACCAAGTATGCGGCTGCCTTTATGATATATATTGCCACGCCTGTGCACATGTTTCTCTGGCATGGCAAGGATATCATGAATGGTATACGAGCCTCTTGGAAGAGAAAATCAAGGGATGACGAGTTTGACGATGTGCATAATCGTCTCATGGCTGCGTATCCTGAATGTCCTCACTGGTGGTACCTTGTCATCCTGGCTACGTCTTTTACCCTCGCCTGTATCTCTGTCAGTGTGTGGCCAACCGGTATGCCAATATGGGGGATCATTCTAGCTGTACTCTTCACCGTCACGCTGCAAGTTCCTATTGGAATGCTTCTTGCTGTTACAAACCTGGAGCTCTCAACAGGTATTCTTGCCATGGTAATTGGGGGCCATGTATTAGAAGGACGTCCTATACCAAACATGATCTTCAACATGTTTAGTTACATGTCTACGCATCAGTCGTTGAACTTTTCATGTGATCTCAAACTTGCGCACTATGCCAAGATTCCTCCCCGATGGGCGTTTGCTGCACAGGTTTACGCAACCTTTTTAGCTGGGTTCATCGGATTAGGTGTTAATCACTGGCTGCTTCGCAATGTCGAAGATGTATGCCAATTACATCAAAAAGACCGCTTTACTTGCCCTCGCACACATTCCTACTTCATGTCCTCCGTCGTATGGGGCGTCGTCGGTCCACGCCGCCTCTTCGGAACCCAAGGCCCATACCGCGCCCTCACATACACCATCCCCATAGGCATCACATTCCCCATCGCAGCATACTACATTGCCAAGCGCTGGCCCAACTCATTCTGGCGCAACGTCAACGCACCTATCCTTTTCGCAGGACCGATGGCCTGGGCGCCTTTCAACTGGAGCTACATGCAGGGCACAGTAGTCCTAGCATTCGTATTCAACTTTTTTATTAAAAGGCGGTACACGGCGTGGTGGGAAAAGTACGCGTACGTGCTGACGAGTTCGCTCAGCGCGGCTATTGGTATCTCAGGGGCCATCATGTACTTTGCTGTGCAGCACACGGGTGTTGTGTTGGACTGGTGGGGGAATAGGATCCATGAGCAGGGTGTTGATAGGCATGGTTTGGTCGGAGATGATGGAAAGATTGTTAGGTGTTCGAGGTTGCAGGTACCTGAGAAGGGTTACTTTGACATTGGATTTGACTGGAGGGTGTAAGTGGTCTGTATTAGTTCAGAATAGTAACATGACTATACACCCGAATTAGTATAAGTCAGCTGTGCCTGAATTAGTATCAGTAACTCCGCGCGTCAACACTCGCCCCATACATATTCATCCAAAAATTGTGTTGTCTGCTCGGTTTGACGTTTAACCGCGCGCGGGTGATGAAACATTTTGTCAATACTTTGCCACTCATGAGATATGTATAGATTCGAGATCGATAGTGAGCTGCAGCTATGTATAGCAACACTGATAGAACCAACAGTAGAGGCAAATCACCAATCAGAAGACCTCATATTACAAAGTCCTAACATGGGGGCCAAGAATAGGGAACTAGATAGAAATAAACTCTCAATAGCCGCGTGGTCGTTTCTATGCGGCCGGTCGCTTGCTGTTGAAGAAAAATGCCAAAGCGCATACCCTGGAGTCGGTTCGTAGTTTGACAGCGCTTGTCTCGTCCGAGGGAGTGGTATTTCAGCCAGTCCATAAAATCGACCTAATATGAAACGATGTGACAGTGTTCGCTGGAGACCTGAACTCGTGGGTGGGCAATCGAAAGGTGCATTGGATCGAAAGTGGGCGTAAGAGAACTGTGAGTTCTCTGGAACGGTAAAAAGAGGCAGCCGATAGAGATATTTCTACAATGTTCAAAATAGTGTTAGAGTAAACAGAAAATGATGACGATGGTGTTGAGTAGGGAAATGAGGTATTATCAGTCTCGGATTATGGGCAGCTGCTGCTGCGCCTACTTTTGCTGTAGCTCTCTCTACTGTGGAGGAGGCAGTGTCGAGATAAAGGGAACTAACTAGGGTCAAGGTCAAGGTCAAGGTTCTGCCTTACAGGGCTGGAAGACACTATTCCTTTTTTGTCTGTCTACATGGTCAAAGAGTTTTGGCCCGTGTTGCCTTTTTTTCTCTCTTTGTCTGGCTCAACACCAAATGCAATCTGCAGATTTGTCATGACGATGATTACGAAACACAGAAAATTTCGACTTTGCACAAGGCTCTATGATGGTTTGTAATTTGCAAAATAAATTTGGTCTATTGGTCCAAAAGAAGAGGCAGCCAGAGAGTTAATCAGACCCTTGCTTGGGGGCCGTTGGGGGCCGTCGGACTTGACAGACACGGAGTTCCATCGGAGAGGACGACAGTTTTATCGGTCCATACCGACAGGCATTCGAATCCTTATTGAGTGTATGTATGTACCTCTAGAAACGGTAATCATGAACCAATGGAGGGTTACCTTGCAAGGCGACGACTACTGTGCCGTATTGAGCTGGCAAGGCAAGACATTGTAAATGCAGATACTCGGCTTCATAGTCCTGGAGTGGACTAGAACGACAAAGAATTTGGATCTTTGGTTTTTAGACGTTTCATGTGGTTTCCAAGGTATTCGCAATACTATGGTTCTGTGATAGTGTAAAGCGATAATGCGCAATTGCCAAGAGGGTCTGTATTTGACATGACGAGGGCGCGCCCTTAGTAACCTACAGTGATTCACAGTCAAAGCTTTGAGTTACGGGGTTTAGAGAGATGTTCATATTATGTACTCACTTACACAAACTGCGTATCCGTGCCTGTGCGATGCGCATCAAAAACTAGCTCCCGCTTCGGGACGATGCATGTCAGTAAGACAAGAAGGAAGAGGCATCCAATCGATCCTTCAAGATGATCAGAAAATAAAAAATTCAATCAATTAATGCGAGGCTGAAGTAGTAATGAAACCATGTTGAAGAATTATCCTGGTTTGTTCTAAGGCTGAGGATGTAAGACTATAGTCGATTTCGAAGTGGATCCATCCAAGCCTCGATTGCACTGCCTGGGACCCTCTACAGTTCAGTACCTACTAGACCTACTGACAAGTTAAGTCAGGCCTTGTAACAAATGCAGGTCATTTAGTACTTTGTTCTTGTTGGTCAAAGATCAAGTCCTGGATCGAGGCCACAAGGCTAGCGCTAATGGAGACACGGGAGACGCCAGTCCTTGATGACTCAATGCCCGAGGATGTAATGGATCCCATGATACCAAAAAGACTTTGTCTACAGAACCGATAGCGCTCACCAAGGGAAAGGATTTGTACTACTTTTGTTCTGTTTCAACCATGGCCGCGCGTTGTAGACCTGTAGTCCTAGATTAGGCATTTAGAGTCTTGTCATTTATCGTGACCTCATTTCGATACCCGTCACTCCCCAGTATTTTTCTCGATCTGATCATCAACTAAAAAATTAGTTACTGAGCCTCAACTAATGAAACCAAATGATGTGATGGTATCTAGACTAGACATCTACACTTTTCAAGTGGGCCAGAGGCTGAGAGTGCCCTGGGGAGTCATCGGCATGGGCAGGTTCGTGGGTCTGTACAGGGTCATACTGCAGGGGTTTGTTAGTGGCCGGACGGTAGGCAGAAACGGCTGTTCTCCACTTTCGCCCACCAAGGCTGCCTTGAAGCGAAGCCTCAGGGAGGGAACACCACCATTACCTTAGTACTGTAAGTGACCTAGTAATGGAAATGTATATAGCGATCCATTTGCGAACCACAAACAGGCATCAATATCTTCATTTTTACAGTTTATTCTCTACTACTTTAGTCCCCAGGCATCAAACCAAACCACACTAAAGCAAGTCATTTACTAGTACTACCTGGCTTACACTACCACTTTCAAACTACCCTCCCTCACTGCCACCCATCATCCCGGATTTCTATATAACCTCCACCACCTGCACTTCTCAACAACCAAACAAACAACTCAATTCATCTCAATCAGCAAACACTATAAAGTCTCAACCTTCATCCACTATCAAGCTGTCATCTCAACAATCACCACTTGTTATTGACAATATCATCTACAACAATCGTCGTCGCAACTCCAACACAGCTTCACCACTTGAGCATCGTCAAAGAAACTACAATCTTCCTCCGATAGTCATCCAAGAGGATCCCCCTCTGCGCAATCAGCGCCTTCAACAACACAGCACCGACACAATGTGCACCACAAACATCTACACATACGTCCACCCTGACGGACGTCGCGAGCAATACTCTCAACCCACTCTTTGCTCAAACTCTCGCCATGGTCAGGTCTGCTCTGCAAACTTTCTCTTTGAGCACCCTCACCAATACGTTTCTGCTTATGATGCTTCTGCTTCATACCCTTATGCCTCACAACTGCCTCCTACTCCCCAGCCCTCGACACCTTCGGGATCATACCGCTCGGGAGACGAGTCAGACCGTTCCTACTCCAGCTCCAACAGCAAGAAGGACCGTTCTTCAGGAGTTTACATCAACGGCCAAAAGGTCCTCGACCTGAACCACAAGCATCGAGGATCTCGACACCGGCAGGAGCGCATTGTCTTGGTTGACAGCCCTCGCACTCCTCCTCAACAATGGTCCGCCCCTCACACTGCTCCCACTTCACCCAACGCAAACACCTACATGGTCGACTCTTCAAGGGACCCCTACAACCGAAAGCCTGTCATTGTCGATGAGCGAACTCTCCAGCCTGAGCGCCGTTTCCAAATCGAAGTCGTCGACAACCACCACCGCTCCAAGCACCACCGTCACAACTCCAAGGAGAGCCGCCACTCCAACGAAGACGATGAGCGCCGCCGTCGCCGAGAGGATAAGCGACAGCAAGAGAAGGAGAAGCTTCTCCAGAAGCGCATCGCCGAAGCCAACAAAGCCATTAACGAACGCCCCGTTGCCCTTGCTCCTTCTGCTCCCAGACGCTCATCCACCTACAAGCGTCCCTCAGTCGAGATCCCTGTTGATCAGCTGAGACGCCTGAGCTTTGAGGAGGAGCGCCGTGACGACAAGGCTCGTCGCATTGCCCGCCGCGAGGAGAAGAAGGAAGAGGAAGCACAGCGCGAGCGTCTTCGTGAGCGCATGCAACCCAAGCGACGCCTTACAATCGGATCTGGAAGCAGACGACCAACAGAAATCTACGAGCCAGTGTACCGCTATGAATAAGCGATGAATTTGTACTTTTTGTTTCTTTTCTTTTTGTCTTGTATCATCTGTTTCTACTATATGGGATTATTTCTTTTGTTTCAGCGAATGGGAAGTTTAGCGATTTGGTATTTGATTTGGATTAGACTTGATACTCTTTGTATACTTTTTTGAGAATTATATTGGATAACAGTACGGCGAAAGCAAGCCAGGACTACAGGACACTAGCTAGATGCAAGACACAAAAACAAGACAAAAAAAAGGAATCCGGATTGGATTTTGTTATCAACTTTTAATTCTTTACAGTGAATCAGTGATACTTGTATGCATCTTAAAGTCAAATCTTGAGAAAAAGACATGCACATAGTCAAGTGCTACCATCAGAAAGACGTCAAGACAACTCCACCTCTCATGACTAGTGGCTTGATGGCGTAACTAAAGCAGGTACCAAAAAGACATCAATAGAAAGAAAAAGAAAATATCGCCATGTCTCATGATGCAAGTGTAAAGACTGCACACCAAGACATCCAAACTCATACCTGTCAAAGCGAACCACAAAGCGAACTGCGGTCCCGGTAATAAAAGTGTAAAAAGGTGATCGATCTACTACATGCATTAAGAACAGGGATAATTGAACCAAAGTCCTTATCCAAAGTGGGGGTGGAGAAGAAAACACCATGATTCGAAAGATGGTGTCGTTTTGGGACTTTGGTAGAGCTTCATTTGAGGGTGAATGTCTTGGATACGAGGGGAGTTGTTCATGAGGATGCAGAATCACGGCGTCGTTAATGCAAGATAGGAAATATGGAAATTACAATGTCTGTTGGAAGTAACACGGTATAGATGATGATCAAAGTCCTAACTATTTCTTATCTGCCACAGTTAGGATTGATGAGTTGAAAATTCCTTTTGATTGCCTTGTCTGCCTAAATTGTCCTACATATTCCCCTCCCACCTCCCACCCCCCTTCTCAATTGAATCAACCCCGCTTCAAAATGTGCCGATCGAGACATTACCCGTCCAAGGGTCCTGTGACACCGTCGCACCCGGAATCTCAAGGCATCCATGGGAAAAGGTAGTTTTGTACCGAAAAGTGTGCAGGGGTCTTGTCTCTGATTATGTATGTCTTGCTTGTTTGTGGCTTGAGTGTGTACATATCGTGAGTCACTGGAGTAGCATGTTGAATAGAGTACTCTTTGGGAGATGGCCGATAAATGCACGTCAACTTAAAATATCACTAGTAATTCGGCAGTTGGATGAGATTTATGAGTAAAATGTTTGATATAGATAATGACAGACTAAAAGACCATCATACGAATGTAAAGTAATAAAGGCAGGCATGTTGAAGCCAAGCCATTGCTAAGGCAAGCAGTGTTGGAACTATTCCCATGCATCAGGAATGATGTTGAACTCATTCCAAACTTATTGAACCGCATCCCCCTCGTGATAACACAATTTAGTAGTCACTTCCACGACTAATAACCTCCTTGTTCGACTCTCGAAGCAGAATTGTCTACAATAATTAGCACCAACCATACAGAAAGAAACAACAAACTTACGTGTTCAAACTGCGCAGAGTAAGAACCCTTGATATCCGCAAGCGGTTCATACGCCTCGAGAATTCCATGCGAAACCAACGAGTTCAGCTACACCATGTCAGTATCTCATTTGAAGGTCAAGAGTGGGCGTGCTTACACCAGCGAGATATCGATCCAGACCAAGACGATCAAGGTAACGACGACAAAAGACAATAGTCCCGAATTGTTCTCGAATAACCTTGTGTAGCTTCGTCGCAGTCGCAAAAGGCAACTTGACATTCTTGGGTGCATCATGCTGCAGACCGTAGCCATAAATGCCAACCTAAGAACCCCATGTCAGAAATTGATCTCGCGTATGGATCAGTAAAACTTACATCGTCGTACAACTTTCCAGTACCAGTCGTTCCAAACGTCTCAATAGCAAACACCTCTCCCTCCTCCATCTTAGTCTGATCCCGATTCTTGATAAACGGGATCGACTTTCCACCGTGGATTTGGTAGTGTTTGATGTTGTGCGCTGAGATGTTCCGGACTGGTTTGACAGGGTATGTCTTTCCGTTGATTTCGACTTCGTAGCTTTCCATTGCTTCTTGGATTTCGGCACTGACGTCGCAGATACGTACGTCGATTCCGGAAGCCTATAGAAGTTAGATGAGTTTACTTATCAGTAGTATGTTACGTACCTTGATACCACTGTTCGTAGCATCTTTGACAGCGGCTAGGAGATTATCATACGTCGGATCAAAAGACATGGTAAACGCACTGTCTACAATCCATCCATTGATCTGCACGCCGAAATCAACCTTCATGACATCCTCATACTTGAGAACAACGTCCTTTTGGCCAGGATTAGGCGTGTAGTGCGCAGTTTCATGGTTCAGACAAAGACCCGTCGGAAAGCCCATTCCAGACTTGATGTTGTCACCAGGTTCAATTCCCTGGTTTCCCAGAAGCGCACGTACACCATCCTCAACACCATTGGCGATCTCATTGAGAGTGTGACCAGGCTTGACGTTCTCCTGAGTCCACTGTCGAATCTGACGATGGACTTCAGCCGCTTTGCGATAATCGTTCAGAAAAGCAGGGTCCTCAAGCTGTCGACGACTCTTGTAGCGAACTTCCTCAGCAGTAGTACGAGCCGTGTTAAAGTCATCAGAATAGCTCTGGAGTTCACCAACGGGATAATCCTTGTTTGCAAAGAGCTCACTCAGGGGAACCCTGGGAGGTGAAGATTGCTGGGTAGCAGTCTTCTTCTTCTTCTTTGGCTTTCTCTTTTTCTTCTTCTTGGCAGCTCCTTCGGCAATTATCGATCCGGGGGTAGCATTGATATCATCATCGTCGTCGTCGTCATCACCCCCTTCGCCTCCGAGACTACCGTCTCCGTCACGGGCGAAATGAGCACCTTTTGGTTCTCCGCCTGCGGAGGATGGCTTGGATGAGAGGGGTCCATGGCCTGAGGTATGTAAGCTTGATTCATATGCAGAGAATTATGAGATTTTATACCATTTCCTCCATTGTAATCGTCTTCAGATGTCTTGGCGCCCATTTCGACATGAACGCTGATTCAATTGTAGAGTTTTTGGTTGATGAATGACTGAGATGATGTGACAATTGACGATTAAGTTGGGGTAGTCGGTTAAATTGCGGCAGAGACTGAGACAAGGCTCGCGTGATTCATTCTGTAAGCACTAATACGAGAAGGATTCAAATGCATGCACTACACAATGGAATGGAAGCTCAAGTTAAACAATATATATTTTGTCAAGGATAATGAAACTACGATGCGATATTTAAGGCTTCATGTACTCCTGACATGAACCTATCCAATACAGTCCAACCCCTTAAAAGAAATAGGTTATTAGACAAAGCCGGCCACCAGAGACATGACAATGTCCAAGTGATTGGGAATTCCTTCCAGCTTCACCTCTTTAAAATGTGGCCAAGTGACAATGCTCATTTATAGCGCTACAGCGATTGGTCGAATCGTTCAATCGTTCGGCCATTAGTCCACCAAGGAGACCCCAGAGGTCTTGTCGAGCTAACAACTGGATGTTATGTGGTATAGTGTATGACCACCCCTCTGCTCAATTGATTAAATCATCCTCTTTATGCGTATTGATGTTGCTCATGTGCAAACATCAATGATGAATGGCTAAAATGCTTCATCATGGAAGTTTTCTGGTCACAAAACGCAACCTTGGCTGGGTGAAGGAAGCCGTCGAAATAGCGATGTGCGACTACAGATTGAATGGACGCCAATCTAGCGAGATAGTCGGCGACGGAATGTAAGACCTTGGCAGTAAAATAGTACCCGTAATTGCAAGACAGCCAGAATTTTTCTGAAGTTGAGTCGATGCGGTGGGAAGGAGGTAGTGAATCTGGTTGCAGTATCAATGGGTCAAAGTCCAGATGGTACCCTGCATCAAAACCAAACCAATCTGTTGGAAAGTAATTCTCACAGTATAGAAGACCTCTCATCACGAAATCTTCTGGAAGAGGCTTTGGGGCTTGTTCTAAGCCTTCATCAGGGAGCAGCGAGTTGAGAATTTGCGAAAGACATTTCCAGTATTTTCCCGGCCATTCATCCACACTCTTACTTAGACAAAGGATTGAGCTGCTGATACTTTCGCTTTTGCAAGATAGGATTGGAAAGTAATCCTTGCAATAGAGAATACCTCTCATCGCGAAATCCTCTGATAGGGGTCTTGGGGCTTGTTCCCAGCCATCAAGGGTTGGCGAATAGCAAGTTCCCAAAGAATGTATATCTATACCGTTCTCGTCCAGAGCCTCGATTGGAGAAAGGATTGAACTGTTGAAGCTTTCGCTTTTGTCGGATGAGAACAAGATTCCGTGAGCACGGACAAATGCTGAATCAATTGGTGCTAATCGAGTTGGGCTGTTGGAGAGAACAGGGTCGAATAAGGGCATAATGCTCTGTCTTGCGCTGCTGAAAGGGATTGGCATAGCGAGTGCCTTGGTGTAATAGTAGAGCTGCTGGACGGCATTGGGTCGGGCTAAAATGGCCAGATGATGATAGAGCCGACCAGTGTTTGGTGCGGCGACCGGGGCCTTACTATACCAATGTCTGGATACCCTGGTCCAAGCCTCGCGGTCCCGAATGTCATCATCTTCAATCGCCATACGATATCTTCCTAGATCGCCTAGGCATTCTATCCAAGTATCTTCAAATGAAGGTACTGTCTCGTAGAGGAGAGCCATCATACTGTAGGCTAAGTATATAAAAGCAAGCATATGCTCGAGAGATGATGGTAGTCGATGTCGAAGAAGCTCTAGGAACGAATGTATTCCATGTCTCCACATGCGGGCTGGCACAGCGTACTTGGGTGCTAGTCGTCGAAAGGCTGGACTAGCAGAAGGATGCTGACTGGCAAGAAAGAAATCATGGTGTTCATGGAGCAATGTGCGATGAAGAGCAATGAGAGCCTGCCACTGCTCATTGCTGAGCTTGCTGTGGTTATCTGCATTTGCAACTGAGGGTTGAACGTTGTCAACCTCGATGCACTTGGTCTCTACCATGACCAAGCCTGCGTATATACCTTTGACCTCTGCGACCAGCTGGTCTTGAGATATAGGTCTCGTCTCCGGCTGTCGCATCGTTTTGGAATTGTTATCCTCGTCGTTCCATTGGACAGACTTTGGCCTAGTAGTAGATGACCGTACGCAGTCTTCGGCCCATAGAGCATGAGCACGTCTAAACGTTGATGGCTTTGGCGGAGTTAGAATGGGAGAAGAGGAGGCAAGGGTGGATTCCGGGCCTGATTGACTAGAATTGACATGGTGACGGATACTGGAAGCAGAAGACTCGAGTCTGGGAGAGATGGCTGAATCCCGAACATGAACATGCCCCATATCATCAGAGCGTTGAGTGCCAGCTGCATCCAGCACCTTGAGACGAACATATTAGTCGAAGTTATGATTCTGATTGAGTGGTAACTTACCTCTGAGCAACCTTTCGATTTGCGACGCAAATGGCGAATCCACTTAGCATCCAGAGAAAGAGGGTCCTATGATTATAAGAGATTGCCAAGGTCCTAGAATTGGGAGCTGCCATACACACATGTCGCGATGGGAGCCCATGAAAGGCGTTCCTCCTGACTTCGGAAGATGAGGACCAGGATCGCGAGGGTTGCGTTGAATTGGAATAGACATTGGTTCATCTCAAGCCCCGGACGCTTCCCAATTGCCTCTGGTTAGCACTTGGATGATCCACGCTTGTTTGGTTGGAAGAGCGTCAGAATACTGAGAAACAGCTGTGGTCCTGGACAGGGCGGGCAGTCCTGGAAGCAAGAGATTCTTGGAAATATATCGGCTATTGGAGCAAGGGGGTGAAGTATAACGAAGTAATTGAAGTTGGTATTCAGAGTAAGTACAGCAAGAAAAGAAGGAGGATCGGGGCCTTGTAGTGTTTTCTTTCGGCAGTGCGATTGATCTGATATTTGTGATGGGGGTAGTCTCTGACCCCGATAAAGAAGTGACATGAAAATATAGAGAGGCCTTATGAACAGGGCGAACCACTCCAACGTATAAGGCAACTTGGTATCTTACGCAATGGTGGCTTGCTTATATCTCCTTCGTGTCTACGCGCGGTTGGTCAAACCAGTTTTGTTCCTCTCTTATATAGCCAGGTCCGCCTTGGCTCGCTTGGTTCGCCGTTTGCCTTTTATTGGACTTGGGTGTTATGTCGAGTTATACTTGAAACCCCCCATCTCAAATTCCCTCCAACCTCCCTCTTCTTAACGATACTGAAAGATCGCGAAGCAAGCATAATTAATTCTCCGACTTATACTACTCTGGAATCCAAGTCCAGGGTAATATTTTATTGACGAGGGCGTTTCGTCGTTCCCATTATCAAACACCAATGTCGAGTACTAGACTACACGCTGAAGCGCTCACCACCTACTGTCCAACGGCAAAGATTGAATTTCATGGAGACAAGTCCATAAAGCAATGGGACAATTGCAGTCGAGATACTCGGCGTTCCATCATAAAAAAGGTCGTTCTCATCGCTGGAGCCTGCACATCAACGGCAATATCTATCATCATACCGACACTTTTTAAAACTTCATCCTGCCTTGGAAAATTTCCGGTATGTCGCCTACTACTAAGCTGCTGCTCATCTAACCCGAACTCACTTCAGGCCTGCGATCCCAAAACCCTCAAAACGCCGTCATTTCTTCCATCTTTTCTTCGTCCAGCCTTCACCTGCGAGACGCTACTGCTCATAATATGCGTGGCGGTGTGTATTCACTGGACATGCGTGTCGCTGCTCTTTCAATCGTCTCGATGGCAAGAACGATACTTCCCTACGGTGCTGTATACAGCTGGAGGAGCCACGATCTTGGCTGCACAAGTAGTCCAAGATCCAGCAACAGTCTTTGTTCAAGTGCTTCCTTTGGTGTCAGACATTTGTGCTGTCATTTGTCTCAGCCTTGACTGCGTTTTATCATAATTCTTTTACCGGAATGTTAAAGGGTTATATGACGCAAGATGGGATTGCTCCGATAAGGAGGATATGGGAAAGTGGCTCGTTTATGTAATTTAATAAATAGTTTGTCGAGCGGTGATCTAGAATTAAGAGTATTTGCAATGTTTCTTCTTCTTTTACAATTGGTGTTTGAGATTCATAATGCCAAGTAAAACTAGCCAAGATAATCTCATACTGCAGTTGAGAGAACGGCAGGTTAAGTCACCATTAAGACCATGATGTGCTTTACAGTTGCATGGAATATTTGTTTCCTACTACAATGTAAGAAAATGCAGGGTAACTGGTGGCCTTCATTGTCAATAATCCAATGACTAGGTAGTTATTCGTATTGCTAAGACACTAGCATTCCAAAAACAAGTCGAGACGCGACTCAAGATAGCTCACTCACGATTCATATGTGTCCACGGAAACAAACAGACTCGCCTTATTCCAGAAGTATTGATGGATCCAAGCGGGTCTCACTGCAACTTCGTAAAGATACGAGGACCCTTATTTTTTTTTACGAGTCAAGCTGTCTTGGCGGATCGACAGCCCATTATTCGTCCAAACTCGGGTATCTCATTGCATTCAAAAGATGTCTCGTCAAATTCGGGTATAAATTCATAACTCCGACGTATATGCCCATTCATCCCACGCCTAGACCTAAAATATATGACAAGTACAGTGCTAGTCAAATGCCGTGAAACTATATGCATGTCCCAGAAAAGAAGAAGAGAAATGACATGCACCTCCTATGTAATATGCCCCCAACCAAGATGTAAAATGTATAATACCAGAATTATGCGGCTGGTTGAACTGCACCGCGCGGTCGCGGTTTGAGAGTTAATATGGGAACATCTACGTTATCGAAACGATAACGGGATGTCTTGTCTTTGAGTAGCTCGTAATGTTTCTGTAGTCGGCTTTCACCAACAACTAGCTCGAAACCAACGAGGAAACAGAAGCTTATCTCCAGTCTAGCCAATTCTGCTTCACTGACGCCACCAACCTTTGACATCTTGGCATGAGGATAAGACAAGTCTTCAAGAGCCTTCATCGCTACTCGGAGACCAGCCAGTACCAACCGATGGGCGTTGCGTCGGGTAACGGGAATGGCTCGCTCCTCAACGGCTAATCGGTGTATGTACAGAGACGTTGCGAGGTATACGGCGGTGCTCATTGGGCAGAATTGGTGTAGACGTTGAAGGTATTGGTTGATAGTAATGGGAGGCTCGTTCTTGCTGTAAAACTTGCGCGTGATGGCGCTGTGTTGTAGGTTTACCGGTTGAGAATCGGCTCCAACAACAACGTATGGCTCTGATTGAGGAGGAGGCGACATCAGACCTGGATGAGGCTTCAGTTGTACACCATCAATATCCTCAGGCTCTTTGAATTCAGGCTTGGACTCTTTCGCAGCCAATCTCTTGGCCTCAAGTTCAGCCTGTTTCCTTAATCTTGTCAAACTTCTGTCCGAGTATGACCGCACGATATTTTCCTTCTCTGCCTGCATACCACTCATGTGAGGTACGGTAGGAGACTTTGGAGGTGGTGTCGGAGGAACATCGCCAGTTATTCTAACAAGAAGTTCAACACCTGCAATCAACAAAGCGAGTGCTTCTAATGGCGCCATCTGGAAAAGGTCATGATCGGCAGGTTTCGGCGCGGAGGGGCTATCGTCGGCGATCAATTGGGGGTCTGTTGAGGGCACCGGAGGAGGAGGAGGAGGTCGATCGATGATGGAATCAGGATGTCGCAGAGGAATCGTACCGGCTTGCGCCTCGGTCGTTAGAGTCTGGTAAGACATGGCTTGGTATGTTGTTGTTTGTTGTTATTGTTGATCAAGATACAGAAGTATTGTCGCGTCTCAATCGTCGAAGGCGCTGGGCAATATTCGTGTCTACACCTTTCATGATCTTTCAGAAAAAAGATGTAGCAAGAGATTTTTTAATTTTTTGATCACGGGCTGGGCCTAGTTTTTGTTGTTCGTTTGGGCGTTAAGTCGAGCGCAAACTTGCGACGTTCAAGTGGGACGAGAATGCGGAAGTGGGCCTTTTTGATCTGGACCTGGGACCCTTGAAGGTCTACCGGTATCCGTAAAATGCGAGTAAGAAGCCGAAGCCAGAACCAGAACAGGGTCCGTGTATATCGATGTCAGATATGGAAATCGTATCGTAACGGTCGAGAGGAGAAGAGGACAGTATAAGCCGGACCGACTACGTTAGCGTGCCGAGGGGCAAAACAAGAGAAATGAGATGAGTGTCCGAGATGAGTTGGTAGTTATTGTTCGGCATCAAAGGACGGGAATAGGCGAACTAAGAAATCATGGTGAAATGGAATGTTGCGAGAAAGTCATTTCTTTGCTTTTGTATTATTGACTGTAGAGGCGACCATCAGCGACTGCCTAATATCACAAAAAGAGGCAGCACGCACTTGCCCGCACATGCAAGTTGGAATCTGCATGCACCTGCACCTGCCGCCTTTCAAACTAACAATGCACTTGCGCCTTCCCCCCTCCCGAGCTTGGATTTTTTTACTTGTCACGAGCACGTGGTGCGGGGGAAATTATAAGATGAGATGTTAGTTTAGTGTTGATCATCCTGATCAGAGTTGCATTTCCCATATTTTATTTACCAAATTCGGTTGTTTATGTTAAGGGTCAGGAGCTAGTTTAGTAGGTTTTCCAAACTCAGAAGCTGATTAAAAGATGGTGTTATTCTACGGTAGTTCCCGACAAAGTATCGTGTTATCTTGACAGAGGGTCAGATCTAGAACAGATGATAAAAAAGAAAAGAAAGAGCCGCAAAGAGATGATGATCTTCCATGCCAAGCCTCCATTTAGGCGTCGTCTGATGTTTTTTCCCGGCGTCAAAAATGCGGCGTTGAATGCGGGCACTCCGCGTCTGTCTCTGCTGACCTTGGGCCGCATGAACGGAACAAAACACCATTAACTATCATGCAATTACGCGCTCACTTTTCTTTGCCACGATTTCTCTTTTCTCATTGAAATTGAGACTAATTCATTAGCCATTGAGTGGCAATAAAAAGTAAATGACCGACCAACTAATGCGGATGCGGAATACTGTCGGCTGGGTTAGCCTTATCAACTCTGCCTGTCACTGGTTTCAGACCCTGGATAGTATCGGAATTTAGGCCCGAGTATTTAATTCTTAGCATTGATGATCTGCAATAGTCTTGGATTAATGTGTCGCCTGATCAATTTTACAGGGACCAGCACGAGACATTAGGCTCTGCATGAAACATTCAATGCCCAGACGGGTAGATACCAGGCAATTGACATTGACAAATACGTGAATGGATTAGTTAAACTATGCTCCTCCCAATGCAGCCATAAATGCTAACAACAATGGCACTCAGCCTCAAGGTCTAGAACCTCCACATTACATCTTCCTTTAGCAGTCCGGCGCAACCTTGCAGTCTACAACTGCCGTTTGTCCAGCCTGAACCTTGGCGATGGCTTCCTTCAACACGCTCTCCAACTCCGACGCCTTGTCAACCCTTGCAGCGTGAATGTCTCCACCTGCAGCAGCCTTGGCAATGCCCGCATAATCAGGTACGGGGTCAAAAGAGATGTTAATCTCTTCATTTGTGGCCTTGGATCCAAGACCATCAGGGTGAACCAGCAATAGAGACCTGCGAGGAGCGTTCCAACCTGTCACGTGTTAGCCATGAATCTCTGATCTGTGAGGTAGGTAACTTACCCTTGTTGTTGAGCACAATAGTCAGTACGGGAATCTTGTAGCGTCTTGAAATCCAGTACACGCTTCCAGGTACGGTAAAGAGATATGTTCCATCTCCTACAATCTGCACCACGAATTTACCCTTGTTTGTACCGCCGTTCTCAGCATCTGTCGCCAACTTGATACCAAGCGCACCACCACCAGACCAACCGAGACCGCCACCACCGCAGTTGATCCATGATCCAGGAAGCGTGGGCTGTACATTATCGTGCACGAATCCAGTGTTGGTGACAGCTTCGATAGCCCAGATTGTATCTTCAGGACACAGATCCTTGAGCTTCTTGGTGAGATGTCCCGTTCCAAAGCTGCCGTCTGCAAGAGGCTCGGCTCCCTTGGCGATAGTAGCCAACTTATTCTTGTGGATATCCGCACGTTCTTTCTCTACCTCGGCGGCGTTGGTCTGGAGCTTGCTGGCGAATTCCTTCTTATCCAGAGCTCGCGTGATTTGCTCTACTGATGTCAACGCATCAGCCTTGTAGCGCGCGTCAGCTTGGATGTAGTGAGTGGGCATCTGCTGCTTCAAAGGATCGACGTCGATGTGGAAGATCTTTGCATCCTCTCTGGGCTTGCAGCGGGTTTGAACCCAGGGAACATCGCAATCCAAGACGATGATGGTGTCCGCAGTGGTGACAGCGTCGTCAACACCAAACTTGAGACCTATCCAGGCAGGATGGTCTGCAGGGAAGCACATATCGCAACCACCTGTATCCAAAACCCTCAATCCCTTGACCTTGTCCGCCAACTCCACAAGCGCAGCAGGAATCTTGTGGTTTCGTCCACTGTATCCTGTCACCAATAGAGGAGCTTTAGCACCGGCCAGCGCATCTGCGATCTTATCCACGGCACTTGATGGAAGTCCACCCAGCTCAACTGGTTCCCAGTGTTCTTGCTTAAGTGAATAAGGCTTAAGATCAGCCTCAAGAATTTCTCGTGCACTGCATAGATAAACAGGACCTTGGGGATCTGATGTGGCGAATTGGAGTGCTCGGTTGACCATTTGCTTGACGTTGGCTCCTGTCTTGATCTCTCCGGTGTATCGGCAATATTGAGAGACGATTTGTTTTTGGTCTGGTACATCCTGAATCCAGTGGATGTACTCTGTACGACTTCCGCGGTGTTCGCCTTCTTGTGTGAATGGTGATAGACCAGCGAATACCAACACTGGGGCTCGACCTGTAGAAGCGTTGTGAACGGCTGCTCCGAGACCTTGGGTACCGACATCAACGTGTACGATGACACACTGAGGTTTGCCTGTTAATCTGGCATATCCATCAGCCATAGACATGGCCACCATCTACAATCCGTCAGTTTTATTCTCAAAAAACCGAGTTTCGTACATACTTCATTAGGACATGTGATAATCTTGGGAAACTTTCCCTTCTTTTCTCGCTGTCCCTTTACCATAGCCTCGATGATACTAGGGTGATCTGTTCCTAGGTTGACGAAGCAATGCGTTATACCTGCATCCCAGATAGCCTCGAAAAAGGCAAAAGATGCTGTGTACATGTCTTCACTTGCGGTAGAGTATGGACGAGCCATGACTGCTGTAGGTGAGACATTGTGAATTGCCGTTGAGGCTTTGGGTGTTGCTGATAGTGATAATGATGTGTTGCGCCCGTCTCTTTGCGAGACGACAGAGGCGGCAGCTACACTTTGGTATCTTCGCACTGAGGACTGAAGTTGTCCCGGGCGATATCTTGTGAGGCCTGAAGCGGCCAGTCTTGAGCGCTGTAGCAATGTCATGTTGATGTTATGTCTAATTCATGTTAGTATGAGTTTGTAAGGGGTCGTAACAAACAGCCACAGAAGTCAAGGTATAAGTGATATCACCAACCGTCTTACCTTGCACAAACGTATAAACTTCAAACCAATCAACTCTTAATATTTTTACAGATGGTGTATAGATTGATCAATGTAGATGAATATGAAGAAACCGAAACAAGAACAAGCTTCCAAGCCCGGGTTTTGTTGCCCGCCCCTCCCCCGCAAAAAGTGCCCCTTTTCCCAATGAACCATCGTTGACTTCGTTCACGAACCCCATCAAAACGCCCTTTGTTGTGTCAAGCGGGTCCTTTTTTCTGTCTTAACAAGCCGTGTCTGGCCGTTTTTATCACGCGGCGAGTGTTACAAGCACTTGGTCTGAGTTACGGTGACAAGATAGTGCGGGGTTGGGAGGGGGAGACTAAGGTCAAAGTGTGGACATAGGGCGTTTTTGACAAGGTTTTTGTTATTGATGAGATGTAAGACATTGGAGACAAATTTACAGGGTTTTGGGTTCTGAGGCTGAGGAAAAGAGGTGACTATGTATTTTACTTGGATGTTTGACCACTCTCATCTTTGCTAGAGAGTTGTCAACTAGTTGTTCATTGTTAATCTATCTGTTCGTGTTGTTACCCCGGATTTTGAATAATCTCCACTAACTTAGTTGACGCCAGAAGCTTTACGCGGGGAAATCATGGCACTAGAAAGCTGAAGCGGGTCACAGTTCATGTTGCTACGTGATAACAGACAACTCGTGACAATACAAGATATCGGTGAGGAAAATAGCAAACAATCAACAATGTATACTTCAATCTGTTCAATCGGCCTCTATCGGCATCCATCGGAGCCGTGGTTTGACAATCTCGTTCCTCATTCGTCCACCATGTCATCTCGTGACAGTTCTTTAATTACACCAATTCCGCTTCAATCGGCCGGCTCAACGCTCTGTGGATTGCTGAACACTTCCGTTGGATCCCACACCCTTTTCAACTCCCGTAGTCGTGGTAGGTTGTCCGCCCAGTAGAGCTTTTGAGCCGCCTTTCGGTCCGCCCAAGCATCGATGTAACCGGCGTAAGTGGAGAGGGCGCCCGGAGCCGACCGCTGGATCCGCTCATGAACTCCGTCCAAGAGATTCCGTGTCGCTGCCGACACTTTCCCCACTCCGATGCCGTAAGATTGATACATAATGATACTGTTTCGGTGCGGGTATGCCGTCGCATTGGCAGGTGTTTCCATCATTGCGCCGCCTTCAGTGTTGAAGATTATTGTGACAGGTGACAATCCGCTGCGATTTTCTTCCAGGTATTTGAAGAGGTCAGTGATTGCCGTGTCATTAAGTAAATCCTGCTCGCTGAGGGATAGCGATTTGGCGTAAAAGGCTGTCGGGATACTGGCCAAAGCACATCCAGTTGTCTCTGCATCGTGAAGTAAAAGGCCTGCCCAGTCCGTGAGCCATACAGCGCCTTTGCCGGCTCCAGGAAGTCGAGCAGGAATACCGGTAGCCAGGTATTGAGTTTTTGTGCCAAAGAATGTCCCAGTTATAAGTGTTCCTAGAGGTTGAAAAAGAAAGAGGCTCGCAAATCGACGATCCAGGTTTGGATCTCCCACCAATGCCTGCCACTCTCTGTACAATTCGGCCGTTTCCGCATACGAAGCGAGTGCAATGTTGTAGCTGTATTGGACGACTCTTCCAGGTTCTGGGTGGGTTCTGACCATGAATTTGGTTACAACACCAAAGCTTGCGCCCGCGCCGCGCAGAGCCCAGAACAGACCCGAGTTCTTGGTGTAGCTAGCTCTCTGGATATAACCGTCTGCGGTTACTACTTCGATTTCGAGGAGATGATCGAGCGCGCTTCCCCACTGGCGAGATATTGGTCCAAGACCGCCCTGTCGATTTGTTAGAAACGCAGATTTGGATCTAATAGACATACCACAGTCAAATGCCCTCCAGTGCCTACTCCTGGGCATGTCCCGTGGGCGATGGCTCGTCTCCCATTCTCGTGCAGATGCTTGTCTAACTCGCCCAAAGTCATGCCTGAGCCGAATGTAGCATACCATGTCTTGTTATTCATGCTGAAATCTTTAAACTTGACCATGTCGATAGAAATAGCTCCATCTACACCTCCCAAGCCGTAGTTTCTACACGATTAGCTTTGCTTTTCTCTCCGCTCAGAGTTCATACCCATAGGAGTGACCTCCAGACTTTGCCTGTACTTCGTATCCATACTTCTTGGCGCACTTGACAGTTTCTGCGACTTGGATCGTAGTTTCAGGTCGTATGATAGCGGCTGGGACAACTGGAAATTCGACATTGAACGGCTTCGACCACCAAACAAAGAGTGGATCGCTTGGGTACCTGACACAAGCGCTACCGTTGGTGCAGATGCTGTTGAGACAGTCTTGGAAGGGGGTGCTGTTTCCGTTACCCATACTGAGAGGTGAAGCATATAATAAGATGCTTGGTGATGATGATGATGATTATGATAGGGGAAGAAAGCCGGCTCTATTACCAAAAGTAGGTAATTCTGTAGATGCTGAGGAGACGACGGTTCTATCGATATCGCAGACAAAACTACTGCTCCTTTGTTGGAAAGCAAACAATGAGTGAATACCTGTGTGACCTGAAGGTCGCCAGCCGGCACGCGGCTGGCCAAAGGAAGGTGCCAGCTGAGCTCTTGTTTAGCTCACTTTATGACACTTTAGATCAGCCTTATGCTTTTTATTTTCTCTTAGGTAATTTAGTCATGCTGCCTTGCATAAATACCATAATTTATTACCAATAGTCTAGTGCTTTAGGAGTTCGATCATAAAGCAACGGCTCGAGCTATACACAAAAACACTGAACAGTTCGACGAATTTTCTTCTTGGTGGATATGAAATAACCTTTCGTGTATCTATTTGCACTAATACCACTGAAATCCCTGCTGCAAGTCTTTGAGAGCTATCACTCCCTTATCCAGTACAAAAGTGGCATATTCCCCGTGCCCTTCCATATCCCTCGAAGAGCGCTTCTTGATGTTCAAGTACTCAACCCGATCTTTAGCAGACCCCCCAATCGACACAACGACGCCAAGATATCGGAATAAAATAGCGTTGAGAATCATCCGGCACATACGCCCATTGCCGTCCAGAAACGGATGTATCTCGACGAATCTCAGCGAGTATTTTGAAGCAACTGAAAATGGGTCCAAGCCTTGACTCCCTTCATCGAGTTCCTTCTTGAGCTCGGCGCACATTTCGGTCATTTTGGCTGGAACGAACTTGGGTGTGACAAACATGGTGCCGCCCGCCCCCACATGAACTGTGCGATATTTGCCAGCATACCCCTCGTAGGGCACCTCTGGATATTCGGGGTCGTTGATAGGAATCCCTTTACAGAGGATCGAATGCGTGTCCTTGATAAGAGCTTCCGACATGTCTTCTCCTTCAAAAACAAATCGGCGAAGGATATGCTGATAGGCTCGCATATGATTCACGACTTCGCGCAGGCCTTGGATATTGTCTGAATCACTGTCTACCTCGGGGTCCACCCCTCGAAGAACTTCGTTGCAGTGATTAAATGTGTCTGGCCAGCATAGTCCGGCCCGCTCTATCATATTACTCCCGTATATGGCGTTAATCAGTGAATCATTGACCCGTTTGACAATGTTCTCTTTGTAGTTCGGAGTCCTGTAGTACGCCCTGTGGTTCGCTGTTATGTGGTCGAGGTATCCCATGGCCTTGTCGAATAGGAGTTCTGGGTTCTGGTCGTCTTTGTAGGTACGGTAGCTATTATCCGAGGAGATATCTACTCCTACTGGAGGCCAGCTTCTCGTGTCGCAGTCTGAATCCATTTTGATTGTGTGGTTTGACAAGATGTTGAGTAAGGTGTCAGTGATGCGTGGTGTTTAGACAAGAGAACAGTGGATGGGAGATGATGTGCTTTATTTATACCATGAAGGGAAACAATGAGTCAAATTTAGTGTTTATATTAAAGTAAATATGGATTAAGTTTTGCAAAAGGTGGACAAAACTCAGTAAATCTGGACTAAGTTTTGTCTACATGTCCCTAAACAACAAATCACCATGTTGCAAATGATATGAGAAAGATCACAGCACTGCGACTCTTGTCCAAAACTGTGGTGTAACCCAAGATGCCACCCAAGAAGGCCGACCTCTCCGAACTTGTGGTCTTGCTGAAGTCGTACCTGGCTTATAAGAAGAGTACGAACATCATCCACCAGTCAGAGGGATAAGAGTTCTTTGGATGGACATTCTCCGGCTTTCACTCCGTCAGGCCACTTCATGGCTGTTCCTAGATGCTGGGAGGACAGGAATAGTCAGGTCTGGGGGTTCTGGTACGTAAATGGGCAACCGCAGCTCGTCCACCTCCTCCATCTCGATGAGTGATGGCCTATTACCCACGAGATAAGCTTTCTATGCCTGCATGGCTGGCCAATTTATCGGATAGACTTTTGGAAGGCTTGGTACGCTTGACGAGGCTCGGGGGGGTTAGAAGAATCGGGTAGAGCCAATTAGATTTCCAATCGGTTTTCTCTTGTGACTTGGTCTGGACGGGTACCCTATGTTGATTGTAAACTTCTACTTGATCTCACTTGGCGGCGGCCAGTCTGGTCCGGGATAGGCATTGTTTCAATCCATCGTTCCTCCAGCTCTCCACCGAAGTGGCCCGGTCAACCCAAAAACTCTTACGAAGGCAGATATCGCTTTTGGTATGTTCAGCAATTCCTCGTATGACGAGGGGCAGGAATATTGTCTTTGTCCGGCGGGAACAGGCAGGTGCACGTTTGCATTGTTGTCGGCCACGGGCGTTTACTAACACTGCTGTTAGCCGCTATCTACTAGGTAGGTATCTTCCACCAACCATGCACTGTTTGTCACCGGTAGCCATCCGTCTTCTTCTGCTTTCCGTCTTTCACCTCCGTGACTTGCCGACTCATATTGTAATATGCAAAAACAAGTGAGCTATCAATCGGTATGCTGGTCAATGGAAACTGACTACGGGTAAAAGACAGAATCAGAGGTGAAACTGGCATACACAGAGCTGAATAAATTACGTTACCAAATTAAAGAGGCAAGCATGGGGCGGCATCCTATCATTGATGCCAAATTGAGATCTGTTGACGGATACTTCATGGCTTAATTAAAATGTACTGTAGAGAAAATATCCCTTAATGCTGATGTTCTAGATCTCTGAACAAGAATTAACGCAATTCATTGTGGTAAATGTTATAAAATTGCTTCGACAAGGGCAGCTCCCACGGTCCAACAATCTTTTGTTTGCCCGTGCTTGACGAAGCACTTATCCGCAGCAGAGAGACACTTCACATTTTATGAGTCTTCCGTATGCACCTCTCCATTTAACAATCAATTCCCCTCAACCTCTGCCTAAAATCTTAGGCTATAGGTTTCAAGTCGTTTGTTTATGGCCTTGATATATTCTTTGGTCGCCTGTGATTCACCCTTCTCCCCCCCCCCCCTCACCTTTTCTTCTTCACTTTCTTCCCAACAACTCAATCATCTACAACATACTACCACATACAAACAACCCAGTCAACGCAATCATAAGCAACCCTCAGACTGGTGAGCTATCATACCATCCGATCCAAAGAACCACTAGAGACTGAAACACTACGACCGACCGTTGACAGTCAGTCACTCCACAAGATACATATGCTAACACTCTGTAGTCACTATCGGCCAACGTTTCCAAGGAGCTTGGAAGCTTTACCGTGAAGAAAAGCTGGAGGAGGCCTAGGTAGCGGCCAATGAGCTTCTTCTCGAACCTCATCTCGGATGGTTTCGTCGATATGCACTCAACCTAATTCTCATCACGAAACCTGACACCACCATAGAACTCGTTCAAACAGCCTTTCATCTCTGGACAAGCAATTCGAACCAAGAAAGAATGACGGATGCTGAGAAGGAGGAGCTATAGTTGGTTATTATGGATGTATTCTACATTCTGAACGTGCGTGGGGATCGAGTCAAACGGAGATTGGAGTAAGTCATAGAACCTTAGTAAGTTATTGTTGCTGACAGTAATACAACCAGGGCCAGCGGTACAAGTCTGGAACAACTGTACAATGAATTCTAGGAGGAGGCCCGTTCGAAGGGAAATAGAGTGCCTCTCTTTAATTGAGATGGTCTCTTTCTACATCACGTGGCGTACCTCACCTCTCATTCGGATGGATTGAACCTATGGCATGACACATGACCGTGTCGTCAAGACTAAAGACGAATGAACGGGTGTATTTAGTCTGTACCTTCGCTCGTACATTTGACCATGGCTGTCTTCTCCTTTATGAATACAAATGATGTTTAGCACTCCAGTAGTTCATCACCACCAAGTCAGTTCGTGCTAGTTAGACTGTAAATTTAGGTCGTTCATTTTTAAAGACAAGAATTTATCACTTCTTTTTCACAGTAATCCCCGTCCGCTAGGTGGGTGAACAAAACTTGTATTGGTAGTGGTCCCTCGGGTATTGAGACAGACTAGGTGTGCTTTGATACCTTATTTAGAGACGCCCCGATTAATCACAGTGTAAATGTTTGGGTTAAGGAGGTTAAGAGACTGTGGAGTATATAAACCCCTCTGAGAATTTGGTCTCTGTTAGCATATAAAAACGAAATATTCATGATGTATCGCAGTTTGAATGAAGATGTTAGTGTCTCTATTTCTTGCACCTAGTACTGTTGGTTACCAGATTACCCTAAACTTGGGTAGCCCGTACTAAACGATCTTGATTAGATTGATAACAACTCTGGCGCAAAATCTAGACAAGAGCGTGTAGAAATGCGCCGAGACAGAAACACGCCATCAAGGCGTCCGAATAAATATATATATATGTCTGATACACACAGAGTGGTTAGATGTAATCATTGTCTGGTCGAGCTAAGGCTCTGCGGCTCTGAGCATGACTCGCCATACCACATAACTCCAAGTTCCCGTTCTATCTACTCTGTGGGTTTGAGTTACATCGGTAGTGGTTATATCTCATGAGAACCGGATTTAGAATCGGCAATTTGTCTATTGATGCTTTGACAGTGGAATGAACCAGGGGATGGCTATACCAATGACGTAATGACGCTGCTTTGACGATTGCCCCACGCAACAATTCATGAACATTAAGACGCGCTATCGGATATTGTACGAGAATAACGGAGAAGTTATATTGAACTTTAATCTACTGAAAAACACCATGAAGATTGCAGGCACGGATTTGTTAAAAATCGACCCGGCAAGATGGGAATGTTGTCGATTGTTGACGATCAACTACCCCAGCTTTTTGAGATATATCCCCTGTCAGTTTCAAATGTAGCCGTCATCGAATTCGCGATTCCACATCAATCATTACAAACCAAACTTGACCCATTTGACATGGCAATTGCTCTAGCCCATTTATCCATGTTGAGCCTCATGTCAAGCTAGGAATAAACCCGGAAATAGTGGGGTCGCGGACTGTTTCCTCCCTGGTGTAACGGCTTCCAAACAAGGATCGCGATCGCGCCTGCCAAAACGCATCTCTAACTTCTTTCTTGGAAATTTGAGCCTTCTCATAGGTCAATGCTGATTGTGCTTGACGAAACATGACGACGTTTCCTCAACATTTCCAATTGTGCTTTCCCCGCGGAGCGGGGGGGTATCGAACGAGTGACGTAAATTCAACGTGGTTATGAAGATGTTCAGAATTATATAAAGCATCCAAATCTTTGTGTTCTCTGAATGGCGCGCACACTCTGTCAACTCTGTTAACAAACACCAACAAATCGACATGACCGAGCAAGTTACAGGAGCTATCAAGCACGCAGTTATGGGTCACAAGAACGACAAGATCGACCAGCTCAAGGCCAACATGGTCGAGCCCAGCGAAAACACCCGAATCACCTCCGATTATGGTGTCAAGCAGAACAACACTGACAACTGGCTGCGCGTTGCAACTGAGGACCAAACGGGTCCCTCACTTTTGGAAGACGCCTTCGGTCGCGAGAAGGTATGAACTTTGGCAGTCAGGTCTGGTAATCGCATTTGCCAGATCATGAAGCTCAGCATTCGGCACATAGACCATGTTCTAATATTTGTATTCTAGATTCACCGATTCGACCACGAGCGTATCCCCGAGCGTGTTGTCCATGCCCGCGGTGCTGGCGCCCACGGTACCTTCAGACTTTTCGAGTCAGCTGCCGACGTGACCAAGGCTGGCATCTTTACCGACACCTCGCGAGAGACACCCGTTTTTGTTCGTTTCTCGACTGTTCTAGGAAGCCGCGGCTCTGCCGATACCGTTCGCGATGTTCGCGGTTTCGCCATCAAGTTCTACACTCAGGAAGGTTCGTCGAACTCCAAAGTCCCTGCTCTGCCATCCCATTGTACCATGAGCTGTCCTCTCTTTTGAGAGATTTGCGCTCCCCTTTACGGCATTCCTTTGCCTTCTTCTCATTCTTTCCTTGCGCGCAAGTGTCAGCAGGCCCTCTGGGAGCATTCTGTCCCGACCTCAACTGGTCCAAAACACCACCCCACACATCACCACAACACCATCGATACACCTATAAATGGCCATGAAAGCTAACAAATTGCTAAAAGGAAACTTCGACATTGTCGGGAACAATATCCCTGTTTTCTTTATCCAAGACGCGATGAAATTCCCTGACGTTATTCACGCCGGAAAGCCCGAACCACATAATGAGGTTCCTCAGGCGCAGTCCGCGCACAACAACTTCTGGGATTTTATGTTTGAGCACTCCGAGGCGACTCATATGCACACGTGGGCCATGTCCGATCGAACAATTCCCCGATCTTACCGCATGATGCAAGGTTTCGGCGTCAACACCTTTACTCTGGTCAATGAAAAGGGCGAGCGACGATTCGTCAAGTTCCACTGGACACCCGAGCTTGGAGTCCACTCACTTGTCTGGGATGAGGCTCTCAAACTTGCTGGTCAAGACCCTGACTTCCACCGTAAGGATCTTCAAGAGGCTATCGAGAACGGCGCTTTCCCCAAGTGGAAGTTCGGTATCCAGGTTTTGGAGGAATCTCAGGAGCATGACTTTGACTTTGATATCCTCGACGCCACCAAGGTTTGGCCCGAGGACCTCATCCCTGTCCGATACATTGGCGAGCTCGAGCTCAACCGCACTGTCGATGAGTACTTCACCGAGGTGGAGCAGGTTGCTTTCTGCACTAGCCACCTTGTTCCTGGCATTGGAGCCTCTGACGACCCTCTTCTCCAGGGCCGAAACTTTTCGTACCAAGATACTCAACTCAGCCGACTGGGAACCAACTGGGAAGAGCTTCCCATCAACAAGCCAGTGTGCCCTGTCATGAACTTCAACCGCGATGGTGCTATGCGACACACCATATCCAAGGGCAAGGTCAACTACTGGCCCAACCGTTTCAGCCATCAACCTCCTGCCACAGCTAGCGAGGGCGCCTACGTCGATTACGCGGCAAAGATTGCTGGTATGAAGCAGCGAACTCTAAGCAAGAAGTTCAAGGACCACTTCTCCCAAGCCCAACTTTTCTACAACTCTCTTTCCGAGATTGAGAAGGCTCACATTCAGGCCGCTTACTCTTTTGAGTTGGACCACTGTGACGAGGCTATCGTCTACGAGCGCTTGACTGAGCGCCTCGGTGAAATCGATGGCGACCTTGCCAACACCATTGCCGAGATGGTTGGTGGCAAGAAGCCTTCTAACCCCAGGCCCAACCCCGGAAAGAAGGCCAAGAACCTGAGTCAGCTGGACTTCGTCCCTGAGACTCCTACCATCAAGTCTCGACGAATTGCCATCCTAATTGCTGACGGTTACGACCCTGTCGCCTTCAACGCGATGTACGCTGCTATCCAGGCTCAGAGCGCTCTTCCCTTCGTCATCGCTCCTCGCCGATCAACCATCTTCTCTGCCGACGAGGATCCGTCTTCTTCAAAGGGTCTCACGCCTGGGCACCACCTTGAAGGCCAACGTTCCACCATGTTCGACGCCATCTTTGTTCCTGGCGGTGCAAAGTCCATTGAGACTCTTTCCAAGAACGGCCGCGCTCTGCACTACGTCCGAGAGGCTTTTGGTCATCTGAAGACCATTGGTGGTACTGGAGAGGCTGTCGACTTCATCAACAAGGCGATCCAGCTCTCTGAAGTTGCTCTGTCCTCCACTGACGGCAGTGGTGTTGTTGACAGCTACGGTGTGGTTACTCTCAAGAATGCTTCGCCCGACAGCCTTAAGGAGATTGTTACAGTTGCTTCCGATGCTAAGGGATTCCTGGAGAAGTTTGTTTACAACGTTAGTTGCCATCGCAACTGGCAGCGAGAGTTGGATGGTCTCAGCACCATGGTTGCGTACTAATGAACTTACTAAAAGATACCTTTTAATGAATTGTTGAATTGACGAATTAGTATATTAATAAAAACTTTTTTGTACAATTGTTTGTTTTCTGTGACCTCAAACCGTATGCACCATTCGACTTGTCACAACCCTAGTTAGACATTCCCTGGTGATTTGACGACAAACATTACTTAATGTAGTGCGTTGTTTCGTTTTACCAGCGTGTAAATAATAAAATTGTCCTTTGTTTATAATTAACACTAATATATCCACGAGACCAGTCTCCAAGACATACCCGCAATGTGATAAGGCCAAAGCAACGCGATCGCAATTCATTAGCGAAGCTAGAATATCCCTTGAACAACCAATGGCGTGTAACAAAGTGAGCCTCAAGTACTCTTCTGGGCCGATAGAGCATACGAAATATCTTCTGTTCCTTTTTTAATCTGTTACTCGCTAGCTTGTCGGCAGGAGCGGCCCCAGTTTCGACGTCATATACGTCATCGAAGACTGCATCATTCCCTGCTTAATCTGTCGTCACTATCACAGAACACGAGCGCAAACAATAAATCTATCAGGATTTAAGAGCATTTTTGTTTGCTGAAGTGAAAAGTGTCTTCTCTTCCATTTCTGGTTCATCTCATTTCATCCTAATTAAAGAAAAACCGCTGCAAAGATGCCTGGAGAAGTGATCGACCGACCAAACCCTGCTCCATTGGATAGCTCACTTCCAGATGCAGTCCTGGACCTTGCAGCAAAGCCACCCAAAAAACAGCTAGACAAGAAGATCGCCCAGTCGCTCAACGATTTCCAGCATGCGGCATGTTACATTGCGGGGTGTAAGTGGCCTGGCTGGCCAGCATTATGCACATGGCTAATATGAAGACTAGCTATGATATTCTTGAGAGATAATGTTCTACTCGAGAGAGATCTCAAGACATCAGACATTAAGCCTCGCTTGTTGGGTATGTAAACGACCATTCTTGACAGAGCCCGGCTAACGTTCAAAGGACACTGGGGAACATGCCCTGGTATCATTCTCGTTTGGTCTCACCTGAGCCTCCTCATCCGCAACCATGATCTGGAGATGATCTTCGTCATTGGACCCGGTCACGGCGCTCCTGGTGCCCTCGCATCACTCTGGCTTGAGGGATCTCTTGAGCGATTCTTCCCTCAGAAGTACGGCGTCACCAAGGACGGCTTGCGAAACCTCATTACCGGTTTCTCGGTACCTGGTGGCTTCCCTAGGTAAGACATGTTCCAAGTTCGCGTCACAGTCAAGCTAATTCGTGCAGCCACATCAACTCTGAGACACCAGGATCTATCCACGAAGGTGGTGAACTTGGTTACTCTCTGGCTGTTTCCTTTGGTGCAGTGATGGACAACCCAGATTTGATCGTGACATGCCTTGTTGGAGATGGCGAGGCTGAGAGCGGTCCTACTGCAGCGTAAGTCTGTCCCAGCGAAGCATTGCATTTGCTAATTGTGTAGTGCCTGGCACTCTATCAAGTACATTGACCCCGCCGAGTCCGGAGCTGTCATTCCCATCCTCCACGTCAACGGCTTCAAGATCAGTGAGCGCACCATTTTCGGATGTATGGACAACAAGGAGCTTGTCAGTCTTTTCTCCGGCTACAGCTACCAACCAATCATCGTGGAGACCCTCGAAGAGATTGATGCCGAGCTTGCTGGTGCACTCGAGTGGGCTGTGAGTGAGATCAAAAAGATCCAAAAGGCCGCGCGAGATGGAAAGCCCATCACCAAGCCTCGCTGGCCCATGATCGTTCTACGAACACCCAAGGGCTGGACGGGTCCCAAGAAGGTCGATGGCGAGTTTATCGAGGGATCCTTCCGCTCACACCAGATCCCCGTTCCCGGAGCCGGCCAGGATGAGGAGCATGTCAAGATTCTGCAAGACTGGTTGAAGACTTACGGTACAGACCACCTACTCAAGGGTGGCAAGCCCGCAGACAGCATCACGGACATCATTCCCCAAAAGGACGAAAAGAGACTCGGACAGCTGAAGAAGACTTACGACCCGTACCAGCAGCTACAACTACCTGACTGGAAGTCCTTTGGAGTTGAAAAGTTGTCGGAAAACAGCTGCATGAAGCAAACTGGCAACTTCTTGAATCAGGTCATTAAGGAGAACCCCAAGAGTTTCCGCATCTTTTCTCCTGATGAACTGGAGAGTAACAAGCTTAGCGCGGTGTTTGAGAACACTGGCCGAAACTTCCAATGGGACGAATTCTCTCGCGCCCAGGGTGGTAGGGTTATCGAGATCCTCTCTGAGCACTGCTGCCAGGGATGGATGCAGGTAAGAGTTGCGAAAATACCAGTTGACCATCCTCGCTTACCTTTGATAGGGTTACACACTTACCGGTCGTACCGCGCTCTTCCCTAGTTACGAATCCTTCCTTGGCATCATTCACACCATGATGGTGCAGTACTCCAAGTTCAACAAGATCGCTCGCGAAACCAACTGGAGAGGCGACCTCAGCTCAATCAACTACATCGAGACCAGCACATGGGCGCGCCAAGAACACAACGGTTTCTCCCATCAGAACCCTTCGTTCATCGGATCCGTCCTAAACCTCAAAGCTGAGGCTGCTCGTGTATACCTGCCCCCCGATGCCAACTGCTTCCTCAGCACTATCCACCACTGCTTGGGTTCAAAGAACTATGTCAACCTCATGATCGGCTCCAAGCAGCCCACTGCTGTATTCCTTTCCCCCGACGAGGCCGCGGAACACTGCCGAAAGGGTGCCAGTGTCTGGGAGTTCGCGTCCACCGACAACGGAAAGGAGCCTGATGTCGTAATTGCCGGTATTGGTGTTGAGGTGACTTTTGAGGTTGTCAAGGCTGCCGAAATCCTGCGTGACTGGATCCCCGATCTTCGAGTCCGCGTTGTCAACGTTACCGATCTTATGGTACTCGCTGCCGAGTCGCGCCATCCTCACGCGCTCAGCCGAGCCGATTTCCTCGACATGTTCACCGAAGATAAGGCAATTTGCTTCAACTACCACGGATACGCCACCGAGCTTCAAGGTCTTCTCTTCGGACGTCCTGGCCTACAACGCATGACCGTCGAGGGATACAAGGAAGAGGGCAGCACCACCACACCTTTCGACATGATGCTCCTCAACTGGGTCAGTCGATTCGACGTTGCCAAGCGTGCACTTAAGGGCGCCGCCGAGACCAACGACAAGTTCAAGGCTAAGCTTGACGAGACTCTGAAGAAGATTGATGCTCGTGTTGAAGAGGTTAGAAAGTACATTGCTGAGAACGGCAAGGGTAAGTTTTCTCGATAACCCTCAATGGATCCAATGCTAACAAATCACCAGACCCCGAGGACTTGTATGATATGCCCAAGTTTTAGACTTGTGAGCCAAGATAATGGAACGTAAATACAGTCCTAGAGACACGAAACCGGGATTATGATCTCACGATAGTTATACAGTTACTTAATAATATAATAAAAGTTCTTAATATATAGGGGTACTAAACATGTTGGCCTTCAAGCTTAAGGATACAAAAATAAACAACCCAAGTAGTGTAAACCGACCTACTAATTTCGCCCTTTATGCTTGGGACGGCCAACCTCTGGTGTCCTGATGATGCCATAGGAACGGGCCAGATGGGTTCGTCGTTGTGATGAAGGCCAGCTTAACAACATATATTGTCAAAGCATTCAGAAAAGTTGCGCAATGTTGGATTGTGTAGTAGGAAAAAGTGTTGAAACAGAACTGTCTGTAATACAGAGTCCGACCAGTAACAGCTGATGAACACAAATCGAGGACTGAACTACAGACGGTGTTTCAATAGACACGACTCACCCATTGAGCTGATTTGTCTCAATCTACTCAACTCCTAGAGATGCTTTTGCACAAAAGAGCCTTCATTGCTGAAATAGTTCATTCAATCTATACCATGTAACGACGGGTCAAGACCTAATGATGTGATAAATGACAAAGTGCAATCCCCCCTTTTCTCCATCCTGCAACCGACTCATAGTTCTCATGTTTGGATCTAGTCTCGTCGAGTATGTAGGTCGACTTGCTGACGATCCAAAAGGATATACAAGTTTAAAAGTAGATTCCTCGAGAGGGGTCTCCTCGACGATAGGGGTCCCAAGCAGGTACTACTTTCTGACCCGATCCCTTCAGAGCTGTGCCATTTGTTGCTACATGGCTATTTTCTTTCAACTGTGTTCGGTACAACATGTTCGCCAAGGTAGAAATATCCGTCCAACGGTCGGTCCCAGACTGTTCATCGTCGTCTTTTGCATCAACGTCCTTTGTCTGGCCGTCCGTTTCTTCGGTACCCCCACTGCTGAGTGTACTTGATGGCTCTGATACCATAGAAATAGAGATAGATGCCTCGGCTGGTGCCGTGGCAGTGCCGTTAACTGTGCATTTCTCCGTGCCAAGAGCGTGTTGGCGCTCTACGTCATCCACATCTAGAGTGCACGTCTGATGTTTCAAGGCGTAGCAATAGAAGGCTTCCGGTTTTTTTATCATACGGGCTTTAGGGGTGGGTTCTTGAGCATCCTCAGCCGTCATCCGTACAGGATCGGGCTGAACAGACTTTCCTTTAGATCCAGAATTCATCTTTTGAGTGCTCGTCTTTCGTTGCACTTTGTTCTCAGGTTCGTACTTGGCAATTCGCTGCTCTTGAATACCTTTCGATACGGAGTCCTGTAGATTCAGTCGCTTTATAAGCATTTGGCGTTTATGCTCGATAGAAGGTACAAGATCAGTCTTGGCAGACTTGTCTTTGGATCCAGAAGAATCGCTGGTAATACGCTGAGATGCAGACTTGGAAGACGATGGAGACTTGGAAGATGGCTGTGAGACGGCATCGACAAGACCGTTGAATTCTTCCTTGCGGTTATGCTTGAAGACGCTGTAGTAAAATAATTCATAGCGTTTATGGCGAATCTGATCTTCGGTATAGGTTCCGCGCTTCCTGTTGTTCATGTTAGCCTCCAGCCTTTGCCAGTTTCTCGAGTCGCATACTCCATCTTCTTCTCTTGAGCTTCCCAAAGAGCATCGATCTTCTGTGCTTTGGCGAATGATTCTCGGGCATTTTCGTATGCATCCCGCATTTCATGATTTCTCATAGCCAATAACCCATAAATGGCACAAGCTTTTTCAGCATGGGAAAGACCGAAAGGGTAGACGCCAAGCATGGCGTGGAGAGAAGCGCGGTGGTGAAATTCCATGGCAGGGTAGCAGAACAAGAGCTCTTTGGCCATGATTTGAGCTTCCCGAAGCTGTCCCTGGTTGAATTGATCAAAGACTCTGTTGAGTCTGGCATCGATTGAGGCTTTAGTATGTTAGAAGACATCGCGATGACACTATCGGCCAAACTTACTGTGATCCGCATCTTTGAGGTTGTTAGGATCCACAAAGGTATTCTCGTAAAGACTCTCGATAGAATCGGTAGGAGACTGGTAGGGATACTGGGTTTGTGACTTGATGGGTGAGCCGTTGTGGGATGTGACAGCTGTCACATAGGATGAGTCTCCGGATGATCCCTTAGATGACTTGATGGGTGAGTAGTTGGATAGCCCAGATGATGACTCGGATGCTCTGGCGATTGGGTAATTGTATGACCAGGAGGGTTCTTCGACGGGTGACCCGCGGGGTGTCACGTGCAATACCATGATTGTGGTGATAGACAAGATTGAATCAGTGGATATTTGATGGAAGAAGTTTTGGTGATGATGATGATGAAGAGTTGAAAGAGTTGAGATTCGAACGGGGGTAGGATTTTATGAACGCGCTCTTGCCCCTCTCATCTCGGTGACATTGAGCAAGAAGCTTCTGAGCAAAGTCAATCCCCTCAAGGCAACACCTATGAATGGCGCCTTCCTTGTGTTAAATTCAAAATGACACCATTGTCCTGCCGGGTTATCATCAGGGTACCAGAAAGGTTGGCCGCCAGAGCATAAGAGACTAAATCCAGGTCACTTTATGCTACTCAGACCATACTTCTTAGGCCATTTATTTTTATCATTTAAAGCTGAATGCTTAACTATTCTGCTACCCACTAGATTGTACAGATGGCGTCTCGATGGAGGTTTGTTGCAAGTGGGATAGTGTCTATTAGAATCTCTGAATGAGAAGATGGACATCTCGGGTGGTGAACCAGTTGTTTATCTAAATGTGATTTGATATTATTGTCTAACCTTGGTATTTGCACCTAAACTCCCAGCCTCCCAGTTCAAACTACTTAGTCAGCCCATCAGACTCAGGAGGTCCCTTGTACACGTGTCTAGCATGTACAACGTACCAAACCGCCGAGATGGCCATGAAGCCGAAAAAGACAACAACAGCATAGTTCATAGTAACAGCATTAACGGGGATTGCAACGGGTAGGGTAAAAAGAAACATCTCGAAGCAGATCCATGCCACAGCTAGAATATTGATAATCCACCCGAATTTATTTCCAAAGGTCCAAGGGGCCGTGTTGACACCAGCACGGCGGGTAAGCATGGAGAGGAAAATAGGAATTGCGTATGAGGCTGCAAGACCAATGACACCGACTGCGATAAAGGCGTTAAATGCAGAGCTTGAACCAAGATAGATGAGACCGAGAAGCATTTCAATAATCGTGGTCAGGGTGAGAGCCATGATAGGTGTGCCATGTCGCTTGTCAACCTTGGACCACACTCTGGAGAGAGGAATGGCTCTATCACGTGCGAAAGCCCATGTTGTTCGAGAGGCGGCGACCGTAATAGAGATGGAGCAGAAGAGTGTCACGATGAGAACCAGAGCTACAAGGGCCATGGCGCCGGCTTTGCTACCCGTGACTCGGTAGAAGATAACGGGCAAGACTTGTCCGAGTGGTGCTTCGAGGAGGATTTCTAGAGGAGGAAGTGTGGCGCAAATGGGGATGATCTATGGACGGTCAGTGGGCGGTTATACTCGTGTTTGAGATACTTACAAAGAATAATCCTGCAATGCAACCAACCGGTACGCAAAGCGACATCGCTCTAGGAAGTTTCACGGTGACATCGCCGCATTCCTCAGCCATAGCTGTGATCATACCGATAGCAGAGAACCTGAACCGTGTTAGAGAACGACACGTAACATCACCTGAAAAAAACTCACGTATAAGCCGAAGGCAAAGCGCCAACCCAGAACCCAAATTTCCCCCATCCTGACAAGTTTGGATCAAAGTGTCCCTTTATCGCAGTTAGTTTACGTACATCACCAAAGATTGCAGTACTCACAAGCGTGTAACTCGGCGAGTGTCTCCCGTCCTTTGCCTCAGTCGATAGGTAGACACAGACAATAAAGATAGTAATAGCCGTGAAGGCAGCACAAAACGTATCAACTGTTGGAAGGAACTTGTTTCCAAAAGCGACAATTACCCAGGTAAAGACACAGAGACCGTAAAAGATGAGTACAAGCTTCCATGGTTGCCAATCGTATTCGGGAAGGAAGATGCTAATACCACCAGCGAGTAGCGAAGCGAAGCCAAAGTTAACGGATAGCGTGATGGTCCAGTTACCAACGAGCCATGTCCATCCTGTTATAAATGAGAGGACAGTTCTGTATTTCGGTGAGGCGATTTGGAAGGACCAGTAGTAGGGACCTGCGGACGTGGGCCATCGGGCAGCGAGTTCGCCAAGGGATATAGCGATGCATTCGTCGAGGATACATACGACGATCCAACCAAGAAACATGGCCAGTTGACCACCGCCATAGACTGCATTGATGAGAGGTGCACCGAAACCATAAGGGATCTATCAAGTCAGTACAATGCTACTAACAATTTGAGACAACAAACTCACGGCAGCAATTGCTAGCGATTGGAAGAGCAGAGTAAACATGGAACGATTCCTTTGAAGTTCAGGCTTGTAGCCCAAAGCTGTGAGATCAGCAGCATCGCCGCTTTGAGACGCCCGCTCAACATGTTTGGGCTCATAGCCACCCACGCTTCCTTTATCTGAAGCCGGACTCATATTGATAGAAGTGAAACAATCGAGGTAGAATAGAAAGCAGAACCTGTCTGAGTTGACAGAAGCGTGTCCCAACACAGGACCGCGTTGTATTTAAATTGTGACGCCTCCATTATAGTGACACCTACATAGGTTAGAGTCAATGGCATCCAGAGCTTGTTATCACGAGCTTCCTCGTCACTGTCTAGGATGTAGCTTAGCTCTAAACGCCCCCATTGTTTTCCCCAGATTCTCGACAGGAGATTTTTACCTAGAGAGTCTTAGCTTGAAGAGCTATCGGAGGGTAGGTTTTACCCCGCTCTGATACATGAGACCAATTGATGATGCGCGCAAGGGTTGATGGGGAGTTTGGGGTGCGGTAACTCAGCCCTGATGTGGAAAGGTCTGTTTCTGACGCGGGAGAGATAAGGGATCAGAGGGCAGTAGAGCAGCAACAGCTCTTGATGGGAGCGGAACAGGATATGTTGGTATTCATGCCTGAAAGAAGCAATGAAGTTGATCATCCCCGATACATCCGTGGGAGTGATGGGAGATCAATTTTTGGTTGAGACAAACATCTAGTCATGCAATTGGGTCCCAATCTCAATCAAAGACAGTCTTGTACTTCAAATTCACAATCGGCCCCGGCCAATGGATCAAATCTGGCATTGTCTCAGTATCGTCGTACAAGATAACCTGCCGTTACTCCCGTGAAATGATAACAGGCAGCAGCTGGGCAATGATCAAACCCCTAAAGCCTACCCACCATGATGTTACTTGCCCTATCAACATCATTAAATGTTTGATAAAACAATCACCGAGACGCCGCTCCAATCTTAGGATCTCTTCCCTATCTCAATTCGGAGCCCATTCCTAGACAGAGTAAAAACTGAAGGCATCCGACTGACTCTGCAGAAATTATAGAGATAAGGCTGGTGAAGTCGAGATAGTGAAGCAGTCCATTAATTCCGGCGTCGATATAGGGTAAGAGACAGTGTCTACGCCCTTCCCTGCACTTACAAGCTTAAGAGCAACAGCCTCAGAGAATTAGGATTGACCCTTGGCTTTGGTGACAACCGTTGGTCGCATCGTATAACATGTTCCTGACGCTTGTAATGAAAGAGGAGCTGTTACCGTTGATGCCCGTCTTGGCAGGTTCCTTGCCCAGATTTCCCCACGATTGAGATCAGCCACGACATGTGCGGGCTGACAAGTAAACCTATCCCCAAACAAGACAAAAACTCCCGGCTACTCTGTACTATCTTGGAGACTTGCGGGGGTTTGATAGCGAGTCACTGTCATGCCATGATCATGAGGTCTTATGACGACTCCACAAACAACCCTCAATGGTGAGGACACCCTCATGCTCTTGGCATGCTTATCTTGGCTAAACATAGACCATAGAGCTGGTCAAGATAATTGCCTCTTTCGTTCATGTTAACCTCAAGCACGCCTATCAACGAGTGCCAAGGTGATCTAAACACGTTGCCAACCGGTAATTGGGAAGTGTGGCTTATCTCATCAATCAACGGTTGGCAATATGTAATTAAACTACTAACAACATTCATCTCACAAAGAGTGGTTAGATCCTTCTATCATAACGCCTGTAGAAATAAAGATGTTCAGGTTCAGAGTTTGAACTTTATATGGTTAATACAACGGGACACATGCCTCGTCGCATGCACAGGTTAGTTCTAATAACAGCTAAAGACGGAACCGTTTTTAAAGTACACACGTGCAGATATGGGCAGCTATTTACAGAACCAACTACTCCTTAGTCGTGTAATACTTTTTATTTTAATATAATTGTGGCGTCGAGGTTGGCTGAGAGATATTTGAGACATGTTGATATCTGGATAGTTCCTATCGAAATGAGTATCTCATGGCAACAGCCGAGTTTCTTTCATGCTTCATCTGTGCATTCCAGACATCCCAATCTTTAATTTACCACGTCCCAGCTAGTGAAAGTTCATAATAGTGGAGCTCATATTCTCTCATAAATCTCAAAACGCCATCATTAGTCGTATCAAACATCCCCTCGTTCCGTCATACTTATACAGACCCAACAAACACCAAAACGCCAAGCAATAACACAAACTAAAACTTGGGCATTGTTCTCCTCGTCTTTGATCCTGTCCCATTGAGTAGAAAGTAAACAGGTAAAAACAACAAAGACCCCATTACACATAACCAAGTGCTATACAACTGCCAAATCCTCCACAAAAAGGGACCTAGTCCAGGACACAAGAACTGTATACAGTCGTTGACGGGGTACAAATCTTCCTGGCTGGCAATGTAGTATTTTGGGCTCTGACGACGAGGTTTTTTGTCTTCCGGTACTTCATCCTCGTCTGAAGATGACTCGGGTGATAATTGGGTGAGTTGTAGAACCGAGACGAGTCGTACTGGTGCTTTGTAAAGAGGCACAAACCAGAGAGCGAATGTTTGACGGAGGGAGACGTAAAGAAGACCACTTTTTTGATCGAAAGCTGAATGATGTTAGTAACTAATATGGATTTTGAAGAGAGTTGACTCACCCGCTGAGTCCACCTGGATATCAATGTGCGGACTAAGAGTGCGGTACCATCGGTAGATCCCCAGTATCAATTGGATAGATTCGAGACCACCTGCAAGAGGAACTTGTCCTTTTGATATGGACGGAACATGACAGAATGGGTGAGTGAATGAGGCATTGGGAAGAAAGTATTCTCTTAGAGCGGACTCTTGGACATCTGGCGTGCCTTGGGTGAGGGACCTAATGACGCCGCCGATTTCTTTGACTGTGATGCAATTAGTATTCAATCGGGGTTATTATGACCTTAATTCTTACCTGGGTGCTCCATCTTGTGTTTATTATGTGTGAATTTATCGGTTTGAGGCCACAGTGGTTGATCAATGTTCTGTAAATACTGCTTACTTGGGTGGATGAGCTGAGGTTTATAGAGCGAGGCGAGGCCTACAAATAAGCAATTAGAACTGAGGCTGGAATGATTAAGTTATTGTTGTTTCAGACATGCTATGAATGATCTGATCTCCATAGTATTTATCACTATCTATATCTCTCAGTCTATTCAACTCAACCTTGGAATTTGAATCATTGAGTCGTCATGGTCATATCATATTTGACATGTGAAAATTTGACGTCATGACCCCAGCAACATCCATTGAGTTTCACATGAAAACACCAGAGACAAATTCTCAATCAAAATATTCTTCATTCTTCAACAATCTCACCAATTGTTGCAATCATGCCTTTCAATTCAGGCCTCGTCAATCCCATCTTACATCCTCTCATCTTCATCTTCCAAATCTTCCAATGGATCACAGCTAAACTCCTCTCACCCAAACCACCCAGTGAAAATGCGAGGCTGGGACAAAACAGACCTAAAATCGCGGTAATTGGCGCTGGTATCACGGGTGTTACTTCTGCTGCTCATTGTATCGGTCATGGCTTTGACGTTGTGATTTTCGAAGCTGGGTCAAAGGATAATGTGGGCGGTATCTGGAGTGTAAGCAACCACCGCCCAGTATGTGGTTATATATAAAAGCTAATTGTGTACGCAGAGAGTCAATGAAACATCTGGGCTTCAAATCCATTCATTAATGTATCGCTTCCATCCTTCTGTCCAGTGGAACCGTGGCTACCCTGATCGTCAGCAAATCCTCAGCCAAGTCAGTCAGCTCTGGGAACGCTACGGACTCAAAGAGCGCACTCGCTTCAACACCAAGATTGATCGTGTTTACCAAGACGAGCAAGGAAGATGGATCGTCAATGATCCTTCTCTCGGTCGTTTTGGTGGTGTGATTGCTGCTGTTGGTACTTGTGGTGCACCCAAGATGCCCAAGATTCCTGGCATGGACAACTTTAAAGGTCCCATCTACCACTCTAGTGATTTGACCGGGTATGTACATTAAGCTTCAAGAATACATAGACAAACACTGACTCCTGTTTAGAAAAGATGTCAAGGGTAAGAAAATGGCCATCATTGGCGGTGGTGCTTCTGCAGTAGAGTCCCTCGAATTCGCATTTGCAGAAGACGCTGCCAAAGTAAACATCCTCTCTCGCTCAGACAAGTGGATTATTCCTCGCAATATGTTTGTCGACGCTCTTCTCAGCTTCAACATATTCGGCCAGGAGACAGTTCTATCCTTTATCCCCGAGTTCTTCCTCCGCAAGTTCTTCTACAGGGATTTAGAGAACATCGCACCAGACAAGAGTCATGGCTTGTTCATGGAGACACCCATGGTCAACTCTGATGTTATGGATAAGATGCGCGAGGGTAAAGCTGAATGGATCCGCTGCGATATTGATGAAGTTGTTCATCAGGGAGTTCGTGTCAATCGACGTGCCAAGGGTGTTCCCCAGGGTGGTCCTGGTCATGAAGAAGTCATCGACGCAGATATTATTGTCATGGCAACTGGTTACAAAAGGCCTTCTCTATCTTTCCTCCCTGACGACTGCTTCCGAGAACCTTACCCACCACCCAACTGGTATCTCCAGACATTCCCACCATCACACCCGTCCGTCTCAGCCATCAACTGTACCTACGTCAATGCCATCGGGACAGTCGGTAACTGGCACATTGGAATCTACACCAGAATTCTGCTCATGTTTCTTATGGACCCCTTGTCTCGACCCAGTCCGTTTTGGATGCAGCGCTGGATCGATTTGACAAAGACTCTCAAACTGACCAGTCCAACTGGCGCTTTTGACTTTTTTACATACTTGGAACTTCTCTGGTGGTTCTTCTTTTGTGTCGTTATCAACCCCTTCAGATGGAAATGGGCCATCTTTGTCTTTTTGGGCGTTGGTTTTGGACTTCCCAAAGCTGTGGTGACCCAAGAGGAGAGAATCACCAATGGGAATGGGTATCATGCTAGAGACGAAGGAACAAGTCTGTAATGCGTCCCTTTCACGACTTAGCTTATTGGTCATCACATTATGGAAAATCGGAAAAGCATATAGATCTTGGTAAAGACATAATCTCGTAAATTGTAATAAGTATCATGATCAACATTGATACTGTGTGGTATACTGTAAAACACTGCTATCTAGTTCTATTTATCTCTGTAAAACATGATCGCTAACTGCGGAATTGGTCAAATCCAATGCTCCCATCTTCGTGACGCCATGTAGGAAAAGCGCCCGTAGTCCTTGAAATGTAATCGAAGGGTATGTTTCTGTTCTTCGTGGACGTCCTCTCGTGTCAGACTTATTGACACTATACTGTCCTTGAAGTGTGTTGAAATGCTCTTTGTAGAGCGACGCGGCGCTTGTGTTTAGTTATTCATAAAATCCATCGAGTCCCTGACTCTTCCAATAGTTCTCCTACACGGCTTGGCCATATGTCACGACTGTTTCCCTGCTGACATCGATACCGTTGACACTGTGAGTCCGCTTGGTGCTGAAACTGACAACTGCTGGTTCAGGCTTCTGGGTCAGAGACGGACAACGATCAGCCGCACTTTCGAAGCTTTCGGCATCTTGTCTGAATCCATCTGAGTCGACAGAAACACCCTGCTCAGGATCCCTGTACCATAGACGTGCCTCTTCATCTTGAGGACCATCTGACTTTCTGTGAGATAGCTCATATGAATCGACGACGTTTTGGCAACCACTCCCCTTCTCCTGATTGTTGGAGCTGTTCTTGGGAGACTTGTCCTGGGAGCGAATCTTGGACTGAATGAGGAAGGGGATGTAGCGCTTGAAGAATGGTTTAAGCGCAGGGATCGAGATAACGAAAATGCTAAGGTTGACCTCGAGGAAACTCAGGATGATCTGTGGTGGTAACTCCCAAGTGTAGTCGTGGCTCTTGATCATGGGAAGAGTGATAGTGAGTCGTCTGAGAGTGACGCCAATGATGGAACCTCCTGTAGCGAAGAGAAACGCGAGACCGAGCTTCTGACGCATGGGAACTTGAAGAGGCTTGACGATCCGGAAGGGGATTATCATGAGGAAGAGATCAACGGCAACACTGCAGGCGATGAGGTAAATAGCGAGGACACTTAAATTAATGCACTTGTCCTGCTGGAGCGGATCAAATGTCGCACTTATAGGCCAACATCGGAAAATAATTAGCAAAACGTAGGTCAAACTGTAGGCGCACACCAGAGCGACGCAGGAGTATACAGCTCGGCGAACGATCTTGTCGATTGAGATTCGGAGGTAGAATGCGAGGACGGAGAGTTTGGAAAGAACAATGCTGGCGCAGTAGAGGAGGTTCGAAGCAGTGCTGTACTGTCCGAACTTGGGGACATACGGCCGGATAGGGACATCCCATGTGTGATTTCCGACGCCAACGTCTAGGACTACTTGCTGTTAGATAAGAGGAAAATCGACAACTCAGTTAAAAGGGGGTTCTACTTACGCGTAAGTGCCATACCAAGAAAGCCAAAGGCGAAGACGAGACTTGCTATACATAGGTCTATCAAGTTAGCATGGTCATCCCTGCAGAAGTGACAGAAAACTTACAGTCATCAACTCCCAAAGAACTCTTGACCACAAACTTTCTCGTGAGGATTCGAATAACGACAATGATGAACGCAACACCAGTCGTCGCCACCCCAGTAGGCAGGACAGCGCCAGCACTGGTAGGCGGGTTCTCAAGCGTTCTGACTTCTCCCGGCGGCGGCTCCATGAGGTACAGAGGAGGAATCATGGGGATGATCATAGGAGTAGCCATTGTGAAGGAAACAACTCCTTATATGCTGCAGGGCGATCGACGCCAAGAGGATATATATTGCTGAACAAAAAGTAAAAGCAGCGTAGTAGTATGTAACATGCAGCTTTGTTTTTTTAATATAAATAAATGGGCACGGTAAGACATGCAGCAGTAGCACGACTCGCAATGGGGATGAGAATAGGAAATGTGCAGAGACCATCTCTTTATATATTGGACAAGGAGCAAGGTTCTAACAAAAAGAGACCAGGCTGCCTCAAACTCCACCGTGATACATATACAGAATCTACAGGTAAACTCATTGTGTGAACTGGGATTCTATTCGTGTCTATTCCCTAGACATGGTATACTATCTCCATCCTGTCACGACAAGACCATTTAACCGAGCGAGTTCCAGTGGAATCGTTCGACTTGGAGAGAGGAAAAAGTGACGTCTCACTTACAAAAAGGAGAATGGCACACAATCAGAGGCGAAAAGAAGAGGAAAAAGAAAGAATAGATATTACAGAGACACCTCGAATTGCTTTTGCCTGTTACAGTCCTCCATTTTGTAGCGTCCTCGTCTGATATAGTATTGTAACCCTGTCTATAAGCGAGCCTTGGCAACCCATGTCAAACAGAAAGAGGATACTTGTGGGGGAGGAAAGAAAGGGACATCATTCTCATCGCGGACTCGTTTTGTATCCTTGAGTTCCGTTGTGGACCGGTATCATCTTCAAGCAAAAGTTGAAGTTTTCGGAAGACAACGAAAAGCAAAATCGTATTGTATGGCCTCAATTTATTGAGTGAGCCAGTCAAAACGCTGCATGTCTCACCGGTTTGTTTCTTTAGGATCCGGCCGTCAATTAACCCGGTATTGCGATGTCTGTCACTGCAGCAATCACAACAACCAACTGCATATACCAAGAAGGCTGAGCTTGTACTACGCATCTCACGTGAGTCAGCTTTGGTATTGATGGCCAGGGGTGTTGTCGTGTATATGATGCATCACGGTAGTTCATAGCATCTCTAATGGATATGACAGGGTTGAGAGTCTTGTGGAGGATCTACTGGAACCTAATGGAGGCGCCTGACAGGAGGAGACTGATAGTTGGAACTATTGGTATTTGTCAGTATTTTTTCTTTTTCCCCCTCGGAGGTCTTTCATATTTACAGCATATCGCCGGTTGATTGCGTGTTCAAAAGTGTTGCTTCTTTCGTGTCTTCAACAATGGATATGATCGCCATCCGTTACCTTGGAAGCACTTTTCATGATAATTTGACTGGTTCAAGGTCTGGACCTTGACTGACTTCCCTAAAGATTGTAGGTTAAAGTAAATCTGATGCAAGTTCAGATGAAAGAGCCCGATTTAGAAGACATGTCTCGCTACCAACATGATCCGTCTCCTGTCATCAAATGTCATGATAACTCATCACTTGTCTAAAAAAACACTCCAAGAACTATTCCCTATTCTCAAATGTCGAGTCTTCCGGCTTACAATTACTCAAAACAGATAAGCTGCCACTTATTTTTCGTTTCTTTTTCCTCTTGTAGTCAGCATTTCGATACCCCTGTAATGGATCTGGATGCATTGACACACTCGATCTTGAATGGCTCTTGGCCTGATAGACTACCCTGTTCCTGGTTTTTAGCTGCGAGACACTCTTGTCTTTTTTTGCACAGACATTTCCTTGTCGACCTTGTTATATTAATCTATCTCGATCTTGGTGGGTGTGTTGGTGCTTGATCTCGCTTTGACTCTGCACTTTAAGTGCCGCAGCTTGAAGAATACCGGCAATGCTATAGATCGTCGATCCAATATATTCCAGGTTCTAGACGTCATCTGTACAGTCGATCATACTCATGGCTATAGTGGTCAGTCATTTGGCAAGAAACGATAACATCCACAATCGCTTCGGGGACTGTCCTTCTCGACTAACTAATACCAGACTGGAATAGTTATTTAACCGGGTACGCGATACGCAAGTGCCGTACAGAGTAGTAGTTGTCTCTGATCGCGGGGCCAAAAGAGGTCAAGTCCTATTGACCATAGAGGTTGGGCCATACCATGGGAAACTTGGCGGTGGAATTCCAAAAAGCAAATAGAAGAATCCATTGAGTGAGCTAACATGTTGCCAAGCTAAAAGCCACCACATAAACTGCTCTATGGTTACATGCAGGTACAAACGCAAACAATGTCTCAGCTCATTCTATGCGCATTGAGGTTTATATCACCTCACGCCATATATCACTCTGTCCTTATTATGGTGATATTTATCTCGGCGTCTCATCTACGCTTCATTCAATGATTCTCCAAAAGTCACTGCTTTGGATATCCTGATACATTCTCGAGATGAGTGGAGTAGACGAAGAACCGTTGATCAAACCGTCACGGCCCGCTCCAACAACCCTTGTAAAGAGACTAGCCTTGTCAATTATGGTATTTCCTTGAGAATTCAAGAGAGAAAAGTCCAGACAGGCCATGACTCGACCCAGGGTCCATGTTGATGATAATGACAGTTGCCTTGTTTCTCTGACCTCATAAACTCGAAACATGTCACTCTCACTGATATCATCTTTTGCTTGCAAGACATGTCATATTCTCATACCCACTTTCCTCGCAACTATTTCTTTACAAGGAAACCCCTGCCAGTAAATGCCGCCAAAATGCATCCACCCAGATATCCATTTTGGTCATATATCAACACTATCCGTATTCTTGCCACGAAATGCTATATGCACGATCGAATCTGGTTAATGAAACCGTTGCGATCAATTGCATAGAATTTGAGTCCATAAGAATAAATACATATATACTGGCACGTGGGCTTGGAAATGTTCAGTTTGTGGAGAGGTCCCTAGCTAGTAGAATTCATATATCAGAAAGACCAGGGCCATTTAGCTTACAACAAGTTCCAACCAACTCGGCTGGCAAGCCCAACAATTTTTGACAAACTCAACTTGGTAAACAATTACGCCTTTCGTATAAGTCTCAGTCCCATCGTTCGTTGTCGTAAAAAGTCTATCCCTCAAGAATTTCTTCGGTCTACCTACCACTCTCGTTTGGTAGTGGAGAAACAGAAAAATGTCAATTGACCTGTCATGTTTCAGCTTTTCAACGAAGGTATCATGCGGTGCTCGCTGTTACATACCTATGGAACGTGTTCGCGCTTTGACATCACCACTTTGAAGGAAACCAAGGGAATTACCAGGATACAGTACGAACCAACTAGTATGATTGACCCGAAGAAAAGGGTCAGGAGAGACCGTTGAGATCTACACATGTGAAGAAGCCGACGCCACCAGATCAACTTGACTCGTGGGCTCTAAACCTGTCTTGGACTTAACTCTGCACGGTCGTGGATCAAGCTCGGTCACAGGGTCTACTACAAGTTAACTCGTGATAACTCTGAAACTCGAGGTTCTGTATCCAATATCATCATGTAACACACTATCCTCTGGAGTATTAATATTACATCCCACTACTAATGTACAGTTCTCATCATATACCTCATTGGCGTTTTCGTCTACCTGAGCTTCACTCTCTCAACATCTAAACACGCAAGATATAGTATAATCAGTTCGTAATGCATCATGCCTTCCCCATCATTTATACCATTCCGTGGTCAGTGCATGTCATCTTCTTTGTGGTCATATAACGTAACCCGCCCAGTCAAAAACTACTCCCAAAAGAAATATAGTCCCGGTCTAGACATCTTCTGTACCAACTGCCTCGTAACCTCCGCGATCTCGTCGACCCGTAATTGTCATTAAGCTTGGACTCTCGTACATGGCAGTGTAGTCGACTCGCTCGCCACCAAGCACTGCAGATCCGTTCTCTCGCTGGCCAAAAATAGGGGCAGGATCACACCAAAAGTCTTTGCAGTTGGCGAGACAGCCCTTGCTGTAGGGGTTCTTCTTCTTGCGCTTGTTCTTGCCGGACACGGCACCGCGTCCGGTGATGGTCTCAATGAATGGGTCGACACCAAGAGTACGACTCAGTGACTTGAGCATACCACCCTTGTGCTTGTGAGAGTGAGCAGAAGGGGGTGCTGTAGCAGATAGAGATGGGTGGTTGGGGTCAAGAGGTGCGCCGGTAGATGTGAGAGCGGTGATGTTGGTGCCGTCGCGGATACCAAACATGTTCTCGTATGTAGTCATGGCTCGGGCGACTTGGATGAATTGAGTGAACAAAAGCATGGTGACCCAGAGGAGTTGCAGAGTGATCCAGATAGCCAGGATTGAAGTGTATGAATCGGCGTTGATGTACTTGCAAAGGGTAGGGCTAAGGACGTTGCAAGTTTCCGAAGCATTCTTGCTAACAGTGTCAAAGTCTGGAAAAGCATTAGTATTTTTGAGAGTGCAATCAACAATTCAAGGAGCTTACAATAGTACAACAACCAGTCATATGAGACGATACCCATAGTAAGCGAAATCAGGTAGAAGAAAAAGTGTCGATGGTTGTTGATACCAACACAGTTGTAGACCCACGGGCAGTGGCTGCAGAAGTCAGTATATGCATAAATCCAAAAGACAAGCTACTTACTGATCGTGTTTGGCAACGCATCGCTGACAGCGACGGCAGTGCTTACTTCGCAGAGGCGTCTGAATCATGCAAGTGACACAAAAGTTGGTCTCGTCGTACTTCCACTGGGCAAGGAGCTCATCGATGACAGCCTTTTGCTCAGCAATGCCGTTCATCTTGGGTACAAAACCGGGGTCGTATCTCATGCTGGCAATGTAGAAATACACAGTAAAGCCGAAGAAGATGGCAAAAAGGAGGTTGAGTAGACCATGGCCTTTGCCTTCGCTTGCGCCGAGTGTTGTCGCAAAAAGAACTGTAGTCAACCAGTTTACACCCGTCCAGAAAAGTGTAGCGGCAAAGATGCCAGTTAACCAAGGCTATAATACGTTAGTGGTCATTCACAACACAAAATCCGTCGTTACATACCGTCTTGTGGAAATGTCGCATATCTGAAGGCGCATACTCCAACACTTGCTGAGCAACCCATTGAATACCATA